TATGGTGGAATAGTCAAAAAAATAAAATTCATGATTTTCACCATGAATCCATCTTTCAATAATGCCTCGGTTTTGCCAGCGCCTTTGATTGAAGTCAAATTATGCGCCGGAACAATAAAATTTAATAAAGATATGGTGGAATAGTGAAAAAAATAAAATTCATGATTTTCACCATGAATCCAACTTTCAAAGTTGCCTCGGTTTGGCCAGCGCGTTTGATTGAAGTCAAATAATGCGCCCGAACAATAAAATTTAATAAAGATACAGTGGAATAATGTAAAAAATAAAATTCACGATTTTCAATATGAATCCAACTTTCAATGTTGTCTCGGTTTGGCCAGCGCGTTTGATTTAAGTCATTTGATGCGCCGGAACAATAAAATTTAATAAAGATATGGTGGAATAGTGAAAAAAATAAAATTCATGATTTTCAACATGAATCCATCTTTCAATAATGCCTCGGTTTGGCCAGCGCGTGTGATTGAAGTCAAATTATGCGCCGGAACAATAAAATTTAATAAAGATATGGTGGAATAGTGAAAAATATAAAATTCATGATTTTCACCATGAATCCATCTTTCAATTATGCCTCGGTTTGGCCAGCGCGTTTGATTGAAGTCAAATTATGCGCCGGAACAATAAAATTTAATAAAGATATAGTGGAATAGTGAAAAAAACAAAATTCATGATTTTCACCATGAATCCATCTTTCAATTATGCCTCGGTTTGGCCAGCGCGTTTGATGGAAGTCAAATTATGCGCCGGAACAATAAAATTTAATAAAGATATGGTGGAATAGTGAAAAAAATAAAATTCATGATTTTCACCATGAATCCATCTTTCAATAATGCCTCGGTTTTGCCAGCGCCTTTGATTGAAGTCAAATTATGCGCCGGAACAATAAAATTTAATAAAGATATAGTGGAATAGTGAAAAAAACAAAATTCATGATTTTCACCATGAATCCATCTTTCAATTATGCCTCGGTTTGGCCAGCGCGTTTGATTGAAGTCAAATAATGCGCCGGAACAATAAAATTTAATAAAGATATGGTGGAATAGTGAAAAAAATAAAATTCATGATTTTCACCATGAATCCATCTTTCAATAATGCCTCGGTTTGGCCAGCGCGTTTGATTGAAGTCAAATTATGCGCCGAAACATTAAAATTTAATAAAGATTCAGTGGAATAATGTAAAAAATAAAATTCACGATTTTCGCCATGAATCCAACTTTCAATGTTGTCTCGGTTTGGCCAGCGCGTTTGATTTAAGTCATTTGATGCGCCGGAACAATAAAATTTAATAAAGATATGGTGGATTCATGATTTTCACCATGAATCCATCTTTCAATTATGCCTCGGTTTGGCCAGCGCGTTTGATTGAAGTCAAATATGCGCAGGAACAATAAAATTTAATAAAGATATGGTGGAATAGTGAAATAAATAAAATTCATGATTTTCACCATGAATCCATCTTTCAATAATGCCTCGGTTTTGCCAGCTCGTTTGATTGAAGTCAAATTATGCGCCGGAACAATAAAATTTAATAAAGATACAGTGAAATAATGTAAAAAATAAAATTCACGATTTTCGCCATGAATCCAACTTTCAATGTTGTCTCGGTTTGGCCAGCGCGTTTGATTTAAGTCATTAGATGCGCCGGAACAATAAAATTTAATAAAGATATGGTGGAATAGTGAAAAAAATAAAATTCATGATTTTCACCATGAATCCATCTTTCAATTATGCCTCGGTTTGGCCAGCGCGTTTGATTGAAGTCAAATAATGCGCAGGAACAATAAAATTTAATAAAGATATGGTGGAATAGTGAAAAAAATAAAATTCATGATTTTCACCATGAATCCATCTTTCAATTATGCCTCGGTTTGGCCAGCGCGTTTGATTGAAGTCAAATAATGCGCAGGAACAATAAAATTTAATAAAGATATGGTGGAATAGTGAAATAAATAAAATTCATGATTTTCACCATGAATCCATCTTTCAATAATGCCTCGGTTTTGCCAGCTCGTTTGATTGAAGTCAAATTATGCGCCGGAACAATAAAATTTAATAAAGATACAGTGAAATAATGTAAAAAATAAAATTCACGATTTTCACCATGAATCCAACTTTCAATGTTGTCTCGGTTTGGCCAGCGCGTTTGATTTAAGTCATTTGATGCGCCGGAACAATAAAATTTAATAAAGATATGGTGGAATAGTGAAAAAAATAAAATTCATGATTTTCACCATGAATCCATCTTTCAATTATGCCTCGGTTTGGCCAGCGCGTTTGATTGAAGTCAAATAATGCGCAGGAACAATAAAATTTAATAAAGATATGGTGGAATAGTGAAAAAAATAAAATTCATGATTTTCACCATGAATCCATCTTTCAATAATGCCTCGGTTTGGCCAGCGCGTTTGATTGAAGTCAAATTCTGCGCCGAAACAATAAAATTTAATAAAGATATAGAGGAATAGTGAAAAAAACAAAATTCATGATTTTCACCATGAATCCATCTTTCAATTATGCCTCGGTTTGGCCAGCGCGTTTGATGGAAGTCAAATTATGCGCCGGAACAATAAAATTTAATAAAGATATGGTGGAATAGTGAAAAAAATAAAATTCATGATTTTCACCATGTATCCATCTTTCAATAATGCCTCGGTTTTGCCAGCGCCTTTGATTGAAGTCAAATTATGCGCCGAAACATTAAAATTTAATAAAGATTCAGTGGAATAATGTAAAAAATAAAATTCATGATTTTCACCATGAATCCATCTTTCAATAATGCCTCGGTTTGGCCAGCGCGTTTGATTGAAGTCAAATTATGCGTCAAAACATTAAAATTTAATAAAGATTCAGTGGAATAATGTAAAAAATAAAATTCATGATTTTCACCATGAATCCAACTTTCAAAGTTGCCTCGGTTTGGCCAGCGCGTTTCATTGAAGTCAAATTATGCGCCGGAACAATAAAATTTAATAGAGATATGGTGGAATAGTGAAAAAAATAAAATTCATGATTTTCACCATGAATCCATCTTTCAATAATGCCTCGGTTTGGCCAGCGCGTGTGATTGAATTCAAATTATGCGCCGAAACATTAAAATTTAATAAAGATATAGAGGAATAGTGAAAAAAACAAAATTCATGATTTTCACCATGAATCCATCTTTCAATTATGCCTCGGTTTGGCCAGCGCGTTTGATGGAAGTCAAATTATGCGCCGGAACAATAAAATTTAATAAAGTAATGGTGGAATAGTGAAAAAAATAAAATTCATGATTTTCACCATGAATCAATCTTTCAATAATGCCTCGGTTTTGCCAGCGCGTTTGATTGAAGTCAAATTATGCGCCGAAACAATAAAATTTAATAAAGATATGGTGGAATAGTGAAAAAAATAAAATTCATGATTTTCACCATGAATCCATCTTTCAATAATGCCTCGGTTTGGCCAGCGCGTGTGATTGAAGTCAAATTATGCGCCGAAACATTAAAATTTAATAAAGATATGGTGGAATAGTCAAAAAAATAAAATTCATGATTTTCACCATGAATCCATCTTTCAATAATGCCTCGGTTTTGCCAGCGCCTTTGATTGAAGTCAGATTATGCGCCGGAACAATAAAATTTAATAAAGATATGGTGGAATAGTGAAAAAAATAAAATTCATGATTTTCACCATGAATCCAACTTACAAAGTTGCCTCGGTTTGGCCAGCGCGTTTGATTGAAGTCAAATTATGCGCCGGAACAATAAAATTTAATAAAGATATGGTGGAATAGTGAAAAAAATAAAATTCATGATTTTCACCATGAATCCATCTTTCAATAATGCCTCGGTTTGGCCAGCGCGTGTGATTGATTTCAAATTATGCGCCGAAACATTAAAATTTAATAAAGATATAGTGGAATAGTGAAAAAAATAAAATTCATGATTTTCACCATGAATCCATCTTTCAAAGTTGCCTCGGTTTGGCCAGCGCGTTTGATTGAAGTCAAATAATGCGCCCGAACAATAAAATTTAATAAAGATACAGTGGAATAGTGAAAAAAATAAAATTCATGATTTTCACCATGAATCCATCTTTCAATAATGCCTCGGTTTGGCCAGCGCCTATGATTGAAGTCAAATAATGCGCCCGAACAATAAAGTTTAATAAAGATACAGTGAAATAATGTAAAAAATAAAATTCACGATTTTCACCATGAATCCATCTTTCAATAATGCCTCAGTTTGGCCAGCGCGTTTGATTGAAGTCTAATTATGCGCCGGAACAATAAAATTTAATAAAGATATGGTGGAATAGTGAAAAAAATAAAATTCATGATTTTCACCATGAATCCAACTTTCAATGTTGTCTCGGTTTGGCCAGCGCGTTTGATTTGAGTCATTTTATGTGCCTGAACAATAAAATTTAATAAAGATACAGTGGGAAAATCATGAATTTTATTTTTTTACATTATTCCACTGTATCTTTATTAAATTTTATTGTTCTGGCGCATTAAATTACTAAAATCAAACGCACTGGCCAAACCGAGGCATCATTGAAAGTTGGATTTTAAGTGAAAATCGTTTTCAAAAAGTGGCTGCCCCCGGGGGCGGCTCCTGAGCTGCGATCATCAATGAGGCTATTGTCACTTTGTAGACAAGTACTTGGGCCACCTTTGTGCAAAAATCAGCAAAATTCAACCATAGAAATTAATTTTAAAAAAATGCGTAGTCGCACCAACAAAGATTAAATAAAATATTTATGTATATAACATTGAGGAGTTTCACTTTATAGATTATTAAAACCAAACTTCAATGCGTTCAATGTATATTATTTGATTCTTTTATTACCTTTCTGACGGATGAAATCGTTTTCAAATCTTAAGCCCGTGTTTTTAGTTTTGATTCTACGTTTATGCCAGTGTTATGTTGGCAACATTGTTCTTTTGAAGGAATATGAGTGGCTTGGAAAAGTGGATAAGTTCAGGCGAGTGGCTGAAAAAAGTGGCCAACTTCACGGCCGTATTGTTTTGTTTGTTTTCATCCTTCCTCTTTCCTGCCGTTGTGCGTGCTGTTCTGTTCAAGCATGCTTCTTGGTTTCTAAATTTTGTATTTTAATTATAAAAGATTTAGAGTTTTGACGAGCTGAAAACTAAAACGAAAGAAACTTCTGCAAATTGATATTCTCATCTGATTTGGTCGCTGCGGATCGTCTCAAAGCCCTGCTCTTCGGTGCAAAGTTGATCATTTTCTCAAGGTATGTTATAGTTTTTTAATAAAAAAACCTGCCAAATTTTTTATTATATATTCGTTACTCATGTGAATAAAAAAAGGGGATTTTTTTATCGGTTTCTTTTTTACAGATTTTCGAGTGAAGGTCTCTAACAATAAGTAAGGAAAATGGAGAGGGCAATCAATGTTGCTAATCTGGAAACCATCAAATTTGATGTGATGGGTAGAAGCGCTGAAGACACAGATTTTCATGGAATCAGAACTCTGCTGAGCTCACAATTGCTGCCACATACTGATGTTGACGTGGGAAATTTCACAGACTTGATCATTGAGCAAAACTATGTGGGCAGCGTTATCGTCGAGGACTGCGATTCAATGCCAGGTGACGACGATGATGATGATGACATGGAGGAGATCATCTTGCTCGGAGTGACAACCGCTGTGTGTCTTCAAGAGCGGGAAAGGTTCTCCTGCGTCAAGCAGCTGCGAGAGCTGCTCCGATCTCTGTCTGAAAAGCACGGAGGGAACAGCAAGGTCATTGAGGACCTTCTTGCCGAGGATCCCTGCAAGTTAGGCCTTTTGGTGAATGAGAGATTTGTCAACATTCCACAAACGATAGCGCCGCCTATCTTCAACAGTCTAAGAAAAGAGCTTCGTTCTGCTGTCAACAAGAAAATGGCTTTCTCATTCTCCCACTATGTGCTAATTGCAAAGATCAACAAGGTCAAAATTGACAACGAGATTGTAGACGAGTGGGTCAACCAAGAAGAGGAGTTCCTTGATGACAAAGCTGTTTGTAAATTTGAATTTCCACTTGAGCAAGGTGACGACTCGTCTATAGAGGAACAGTTGCGGAACACCGAAGTTGTTCCATTCAGGCGAGTCCTTGTATTTACTTCGGAAGCATTTGAGCATTTGGTTGACTCAATGAGAACTGGTGAATAAAAAGCCAATTTCAAAATATTTTTTGAGACTGAATATTCTTTATTAACGCTTTACAAAAATAGCTCTACCGTGGCCCCGAAACGCAATAATAGAGTTTCAAATGTTAATATCAATTAATAATTATTAGTTTCAATAAGGCTGCTCCATTTCATATAACTAATTCTTCAATCTTTTCCTCTGGTTCAGCATTTCTCTGATTACTCCTTTTATGCCCTTGGCAAGTTCATTTGCTGTGTATGGCTTGTTGAGTTCAGGAACATGTATAAAAATTGCCTTTGACTTATCTTGACTCAAGGAAGAGAAATAGGAAAATTCACAGAGGTACCTTGGATCAATTAAAAAAAATATGATTTCATGAAAATTTAAGACTGCATTTGAATTACCTGCCGGCATCCTTTGAGATGCAAACTGGCACACCATCCTTTTCGGTAACAGTTGTGCTAATAGATGGAACGTCGAGGGTAGATTGAAGGCACTCGGTTTCGCAGAGACAGTTGCATCCTGATACAGGGAGCCTTCCGCAATTATCAGTCTGCTTGTAGCCCGACTTGTAAGCCTGGGTCTCTAGAGTGATGCTGGAAGCAACACTCGAGACACCAACATGAATCACAAGCTGAAATATGTATTTTAAATTTGTAAATCCAAGAGGCCGCAAAATAAACCTCAGGGTTATGCTCCTTCCATAACTTGGGTACTTCCGTCTCAACATAATCATACTCAACGGGAAGGTTGTGGGTGACTAACTTGATCTTCAGATCATTTTCCGTATCTACGTCTCTCAGTGCTTTGACAGCTTCCCAGCTAGCGTTGACCTTGTGGTGACCAAAGGGGCCAAAACCAGTGACAACCACGACAGGCAATGACTTATTTTTAGCTGCATCCCCCATTGCGCTAATCAGCTAAAATAGTAAGTTCTATAATGCTGTAATAATAAAAAATTGGCAAGCCAAATCAACACTACAACCTGCAACTACAACGTCCCACTAGAAAATAGCAGAGTTTTACATGTCAAGTCTTATCAGCGAGTAAATATAATGAGTCGTCCCCATTTGACTTCCATCAGAAAGTCATCTTAAGAGGTCACGCAGTGTGTGAAAAGCAATTATTTTGGAATTAAACGCGCAGTGTAACACGACTGATAAAAACAAGAAATTGAGGAAACTAGAAAGATATATTCATGTTGTTTGCGTTCACCTTCAGTGGACTGGACACAATAACACGCAGGATAGCCAACTTAAATAATTGCTATCGCTAAAAATTAAACAGCACAGTTTTTAGCAAAACGTATAAAAAGAATACTGTCTCAGAGAAGTCTAAAATGATTTAGTACACATAGAAAATTAAATATAATAAAATTAGCTACTCGACATTGACTTGTCATCTTCATTTTCACTGCTTGCATCACTCCATGGAGCACTTTCAAAAGGACTTGCTGCTCTTGGAGTAGCACTATTTTCTTCCTCACCTGTGAAATATTTGCCACGGTTTGTGTGTGTGAGGGGCAAAAGGGCTTACAGACTAGAGGAGGCATGCAAGGGGCTTAGATGGATAATTCCTCCATCACGCGGAAGATCCGATTGCCATTTTTATTACCCTTCTGCTTCTTGCTGGCCTGTCTGTCGGAGCCCCTTTCAGAGTCTCCTCGTCTACGTTTGTTTTCACTTTTGGTCTCTTGCTTGTAGCTTGCAAGGGTTTGAAGGGTAAAGTTCTTGGAAGTAGATGACTTGCCAATCACACTTTTGACTTTCTTGGCTTCGCCCTTCTTAAAAAGTTCCACCAAACACTCCTTGTTGTTGATCCATGAGATTTTTACACCACCTTTTAATTTGGATTTAAAAAAATAAATAAAATTTATACACCAAGCTCCTTACCGAATGGGCTGTAGAGTTTAGATATGTCACCAGTATTCCAATGGGTAGGAACTTGCATGTGGAAGACGTGATCTCGAAATTTAATAAAGATATGGTGGAATAGTGAAAAAAATAAAATTCATGATTTTCACCATGAATCCAACTTTCAAAGTTGCCTCGGTTTGGCCAGCGCGTTTGATTGAAGTCAAATAATGCGCCCGAACAATAAAATTTAATAAAGATACAGTGGAATAATGTAAAAAATAAAATTCACGATTTTCAATATGAATCCAACTTTCAATGTTGTCTCGGTTTGGCCAGCGCGTTTGATTTAAGTCATTTGATGCGCCGGAACAATAAAATTTAATAAAGATATGGTGGAATAGTGAAAAAAATAAAATTCATGATTTTCAACATGAATCCATCTTTCAATAATGCCTCGGTTTGGCCAGCGCGTGTGATTGAAGTCAAATTATGCGCCGGAACAATAAAATTTAATAAAGATATGGTGGAATAGTGAAAAATATAAAATTCATGATTTTCACCATGAATCCATCTTTCAATTATGCCTCGGTTTGGCCAGCGCGTTTGATTGAAGTCAAATTATGCGCCGGAACAATAAAATTTAATAAAGATATAGTGGAATAGTGAAAAAAACAAAATTCATGATTTTCACCATGAATCCATCTTTCAATTATGCCTCGGTTTGGCCAGCGCGTTTGATGGAAGTCAAATTATGCGCCGGAACAATAAAATTTAATAAAGATATGGTGGAATAGTGAAAAAAATAAAATTCATGATTTTCACCATGAATCCATCTTTCAATAATGCCTCGGTTTTGCCAGCGCCTTTGATTGAAGTCAAATTATGCGCCGGAACAATAAAATTTAATAAAGATATAGTGGAATAGTGAAAAAAACAAAATTCATGATTTTCACCATGAATCCATCTTTCAATTATGCCTCGGTTTGGCCAGCGCGTTTGATTGAAGTCAAATAATGCGCCGGAACAATAAAATTTAATAAAGATATGGTGGAATAGTGAAAAAAATAAAATTCATGATTTTCACCATGAATCCATCTTTCAATAATGCCTCGGTTTGGCCAGCGCGTTTGATTGAAGTCAAATTATGCGCCGAAACATTAAAATTTAATAAAGATTCAGTGGAATAATGTAAAAAATAAAATTCACGATTTTCGCCATGAATCCAACTTTCAATGTTGTCTCGGTTTGGCCAGCGCGTTTGATTTAAGTCATTTGATGCGCCGGAACAATAAAATTTAATAAAGATATGGTGGATTCATGATTTTCACCATGAATCCATCTTTCAATTATGCCTCGGTTTGGCCAGCGCGTTTGATTGAAGTCAAATATGCGCAGGAACAATAAAATTTAATAAAGATATGGTGGAATAGTGAAATAAATAAAATTCATGATTTTCACCATGAATCCATCTTTCAATAATGCCTCGGTTTTGCCAGCTCGTTTGATTGAAGTCAAATTATGCGCCGGAACAATAAAATTTAATAAAGATACAGTGAAATAATGTAAAAAATAAAATTCACGATTTTCGCCATGAATCCAACTTTCAATGTTGTCTCGGTTTGGCCAGCGCGTTTGATTTAAGTCATTTGATGCGCCGGAACAATAAAATTTAATAAAGATATGGTGGAATAGTGAAAAAAATAAAATTCATGATTTTCACCATGAATCCATCTTTCAATTATGCCTCGGTTTGGCCAGCGCGTTTGATTGAAGTCAAATAATGCGCAGGAACAATAAAATTTAATAAAGATATGGTGGAATAGTGAAAAAAATAAAATTCATGATTTTCACCATGAATCCATCTTTCAATTATGCCTCGGTTTGGCCAGCGCGTTTGATTGAAGTCAAATAATGCGCAGGAACAATAAAATTTAATAAAGATATGGTGGAATAGTGAAATAAATAAAATTCATGATTTTCACCATGAATCCATCTTTCAATAATGCCTCGGTTTTGCCAGCTCGTTTGATTGAAGTCAAATTATGCGCCGGAACAATAAAATTTAATAAAGATACAGTGAAATAATGTAAAAAATAAAATTCACGATTTTCACCATGAATCCAACTTTCAATGTTGTCTCGGTTTGGCCAGCGCGTTTGATTTAAGTCATTTGATGCGCCGGAACAATAAAATTTAATAAAGATATGGTGGAATAGTGAAAAAAATAAAATTCATGATTTTCACCATGAATCCATCTTTCAATTATGCCTCGGTTTGGCCAGCGCGTTTGATTGAAGTCAAATAATGCGCAGGAACAATAAAATTTAATAAAGATATGGTGGAATAGTGAAAAAAATAAAATTCATGATTTTCACCATGAATCCATCTTTCAATAATGCCTCGGTTTGGCCAGCGCGTTTGATTGAAGTCAAATTCTGCGCCGAAACAATAAAATTTAATAAAGATATAGAGGAATAGTGAAAAAAACAAAATTCATGATTTTCACCATGAATCCATCTTTCAATTATGCCTCGGTTTGGCCAGCGCGTTTGATGGAAGTCAAATTATGCGCCGGAACAATAAAATTTAATAAAGATATGGTGGAATAGTGAAAAAAATAAAATTCATGATTTTCACCATGTATCCATCTTTCAATAATGCCTCGGTTTTGCCAGCGCCTTTGATTGAAGTCAAATTATGCGCCGAAACATTAAAATTTAATAAAGATTCAGTGGAATAATGTAAAAAATAAAATTCATGATTTTCACCATGAATCCATCTTTCAATAATGCCTCGGTTTGGCCAGCGCGTTTGATTGAAGTCAAATTATGCGTCAAAACATTAAAATTTAATAAAGATTCAGTGGAATAATGTAAAAAATAAAATTCATGATTTTCACCATGAATCCAACTTTCAAAGTTGCCTCGGTTTGGCCAGCGCGTTTCATTGAAGTCAAATTATGCGCCGGAACAATAAAATTTAATAGAGATATGGTGGAATAGTGAAAAAAATAAAATTCACGATTTTCACCATGAATCCATCTTTCAATAATGCCTCGGTTTGGCCAGCGCGTGTGATTGAATTCAAATTATGCGCCGAAACATTAAAATTTAATAAAGATATAGAGGAATAGTGAAAAAAACAAAATTCATGATTTTCACCATGAATCCATCTTTCAATTATGCCTCGGTTTGGCCAGCGCGTTTGATGGAAGTCAAATTATGCGCCGGAACAATAAAATTTAATAAAGTAATGGTGGAATAGTGAAAAAAATAAAATTCATGATTTTCACCATGAATCAATCTTTCAATAATGCCTCGGTTTTGCCAGCGCGTTTGATTGAAGTCAAATTATGCGCCGAAACAATAAAATTTAATAAAGATATGGTGGAATAGTGAAAAAAATAAAATTCATGATTTTCACCATGAATCCATCTTTCAATAATGCCTCGGTTTGGCCAGCGCGTGTGATTGAAGTCAAATTATGCGCCGAAACATTAAAATTTAATAAAGATATGGTGGAATAGTCAAAAAAATAAAATTCATGATTTTCACCATGAATCCATCTTTCAATAATGCCTCGGTTTTGCCAGCGCCTTTGATTGAAGTCAGATTATGCGCCGGAACAATAAAATTTAATAAAGATATGGTGGAATAGTGAAAAAAATAAAATTCATGATTTTCACCATGAATCCAACTTACAAAGTTGCCTCGGTTTGGCCAGCGCGTTTGATTGAAGTCAAATTATGCGCCGGAACAATAAAATTTAATAAAGATATGGTGGAATAGTGAAAAAAATAAAATTCATGATTTTCACCATGAATCCATCTTTCAATAATGCCTCGGTTTGGCCAGCGCGTGTGATTGATTTCAAATTATGCGCCGAAACATTAAAATTTAATAAAGATATAGTGGAATAGTGAAAAAAATAAAATTCATTATTTTCACCATGAATCCATCTTTCAAAGTTGCCTCGGTTTGGCCAGCGCGTTTGATTGAAGTCAAATAATGCGCCCGAACAATAAAATTTAATAAAGATACAGTGGAATAGTGAAAAAAATAAAATTCATGATTTTCACCATGAATCCATCTTTCAATAATGCCTCGGTTTGGCCAGCGCCTTTGATTGAAGTCAAATAATGCGCCCGAACAATAAAGTTTAATAAAGATACAGTGAAATAATGTAAAAAATAAAATTCACGATTTTCACCATGAATCCATCTTTCAATAATGCCTCAGTTTGGCCAGCGCGTTTGATTGAAGTCTAATTATGCGCCGGAACAATAAAATTTAATAAAGATATGGTGGAATAGTGAAAAAAATAAAATTCATGATTTTCACCATGAATCCAACTTTCAATGTTGTCTCGGTTTGGCCAGCGCGTTTGATTTGAGTCATTTTATGTGCCTGAACAATAAAATTTAATAAAGATACAGTGGGAAAATCATGAATTTTATTTTTTTACATTATTCCACTGTATCTTTATTAAATTTTATTGTTCTGGCGCATTAAATTACTAAAATCAAACGCACTGGCCAAACCGAGGCATCATTGAAAGTTGGATTTTAAGTGAAAATCGTTTTCAAAAAGTGGCTGCCCCCGGGGGCGGCTCCTGAGCTGCGATCATCAATGAGGCTATTGTCACTTTGTAGACAAGTACTTGGGCCACCTTTGTGCAAAAATCAGCAAAATTCAACCATAGAAATTAATTTTAAAAAAATGCGTAGTCGCACCAACAAAGATTAAATAAAATATTTATGTATATAACATTGAGGAGTTTCACTTTATAGATTATTAAAACCAAACTTCAATGCGTTCAATGTATATTATTTGATTCTTTTATTACCTTTCTGACGGATGAAATCGTTTTCAAATCTTAAGCCCGTGTTTTTAGTTTTGATTCTACGTTTATGCCAGTGTTATGTTGGCAACATTGTTCTTTTGAAGGAATATGAGTGGCTTGGAAAAGTGGATAAGTTCAGGCGAGTGGCTGAAAAAAGTGGCCAACTTCACGGCCGTATTGTTTTGTTTGTTTTCATCCTTCCTCTTTCCTGCCGTTGTGCGTGCTGTTCTGTTCAAGCATGCTTCTTGGTTTCTAAATTTTGTATTTTAATTATAAAAGATTTAGAGTTTTGACGAGCTGAAAACTAAAACGAAAGAAACTTCTGCAAATTGATATTCTCATCTGATTTGGTCGCTGCGGATCGTCTCAAAGCCCTGCTCTTCGGTGCAAAGTTGATCATTTTCTCAAGGTATGTTATAGTTTTTTAATAAAAAAACCTGCCAAATTTTTTATTATATATTCGTTACTCATGTGAATAAAAAAAGGGGATTTTTTTATCGGTTTCTTTTTTACAGATTTTCGAGTGAAGGTCTCTAACAATAAGTAAGGAAAATGGAGAGGGCAATCAATGTTGCTAATCTGGAAACCATCAAATTTGATGTGATGGGTAGAAGCGCTGAAGACACAGATTTTCATGGAATCAGAACTCTGCTGAGCTCACAATTGCTGCCACATACTGATGTTGACGTGGGAAATTTCACAGACTTGATCATTGAGCAAAACTATGTGGGCAGCGTTATCGTCGAGGACTGCGATTCAATGCCAGGTGACGACGATGATGATGATGACATGGAGGAGATCATCTTGCTCGGAGTGACAACCGCTGTGTGTCTTCAAGAGCGGGAAAGGTTCTCCTGCGTCAAGCAGCTGCGAGAGCTGCTCCGATCTCTGTCTGAAAAGCACGGAGGGAACAGCAAGGTCATTGAGGACCTTCTTGCCGAGGATCCCTGCAAGTTAGGCCTTTTGGTGAATGAGAGATTTGTCAACATTCCACAAACGATAGCGCCGCCTATCTTCAACAGTCTAAGAAAAGAGCTTCGTTCTGCTGTCAACAAGAAAATGGCTTTCTCATTCTCCCACTATGTGCTAATTGCAAAGATCAACAAGGTCAAAATTGACAACGAGATTGTAGACGAGTGGGTCAACCAAGAAGAGGAGTTCCTTGATGACAAAGCTGTTTGTAAATTTGAATTTCCACTTGAGCAAGGTGACGACTCGTCTATAGAGGAACAGTTGCGGAACACCGAAGTTGTTCCATTCAGGCGAGTCCTTGTATTTACTTCGGAAGCATTTGAGCATTTGGTTGACTCAATGAGAACTGGTGAATAAAAAGCCAATTTCAAAATATTTTTTGAGACTGAATATTCTTTATTAACGCTTTACAAAAATAGCTCTACCGTGGCCCCGAAACGCAATAATAGAGTTTCAAATGTTAATATCAATTAATAATTATTAGTTTCAATAAGGCTGCTCCATTTCATATAACTAATTCTTCAATCTTTTCCTCTGGTTCAGCATTTCTCTGATTACTCCTTTTATGCCCTTGGCAAGTTCATTTGCTGTGTATGGCTTGTTGAGTTCAGGAACATGTATAAAAATTGCCTTTGACTTATCTTGACTCAAGGAAGAGAAATAGGAAAATTCACAGAGGTACCTTGGATCAATTAAAAAAAATATGATTTCATGAAAATTTAAGACTGCATTTGAATTACCTGCCGGCATCCTTTGAGATGCAAACTGGCACACCATCCTTTTCGGTAACAGTTGTGCTAATAGATGGAACGTCGAGGGTAGATTGAAGGCACTCGGTTTCGCAGAGACAGTTGCATCCTGATACAGGGAGCCTTCCGCAATTATCAGTCTGCTTGTAGCCCGACTTGTAAGCCTGGGTCTCTAGAGTGATGCTGGAAGCAACATTCGAGACACCAACATGAATCACAAGCTGAAATATGTATTTTAAATTTGTAAATCCAAGAGGCCGCAAAATAAACCTCAGGGTTATGCTCCTTCCATAACTTGGGTACTTCCGTCTCAACATAATCATACTCAACGGGAAGGTTGTGGGTGACTAACTTGATCTTCAGATCATTTTCCGTATCTACGTCTCTCAGTGCTTTGACAGCTTCCCAGCTAGCGTTGACCTTGTGGTGACCAAAGGGGCCAAAACCAGTGACAACCACGACAGGCAATGACTTATTTTTAGCTGCATCCCCCATTGCGCTAATCAGCTAAAATAGTAAGTTCTATAATGCTGTAATAATAAAAAATTGGCAAGCCAAATCAACACTACAACCTGCAACTACAACGTCCCACTAGAAAATAGCAGAGTTTTACATGTCAAGTCTTATCAGCGAGTAAATATAATGAGTCGTCCCCATTTGACTTCCATCAGAAAGTCATCTTAAGAGGTCACGCAGTGTGTGAAAAGCAATTATTTTGGAATTAAACGCGCAGTGTAACACGACTGATAAAAACAAGAAATTGAGGAAACTAGAAAGATATATTCATGTTGTTTGCGTTCACCTTCAGTGGACTGGACACAATAACACGCAGGATAGCCAACTTAAATAATTGCTATCGCTAAAAATTAAACAGCACAGTTTTTAGCAAAACGTATAAAAAGAATACTGTCTCAGAGAAGTCTAAAATGATTTAGTACACATAGAAAATTAAATATAATAAAATTAGCTACTCGACATTGACTTGTCATCTTCATTTTCACTGCTTGCATCACTCCATGGAGCACTTTCAAAAGGACTTGCTGCTCTTGGAGTAGCACTATTTTCTTCCTCACCTGTGAAATATTTGCCACGGTTTGTGTGTGTGAGGGGCAAAAGGGCTTACAGACTAGAGGAGGCATGCAAGGGGCTTAGATGGATAATTCCTCCATCACGCGGAAGATCCGATTGCCATTTTTATTACCCTTCTGCTTCTTGCTGGCCTGTCTGTCGGAGCCCCTTTCAGAGTCTCCTCGTCTACGTTTGTTTTCACTTTTGGTCTCTTGCTTGTAGCTTGCAAGGGTTTGAAGGGTAAAGTTCTTGGAAGTAGATGACTTGCCAATCACACTTTTGACTTTCTTGGCTTCGCCCTTCTTAAAAAGTTCCACCAAACACTCCTTGTTGTTGATCCATGAGATTTTTACACCACCTTTTAATTTGGATTTAAAAAAATAAATAAAATTTATACACCAAGCTCCTTACCGAATGGGCTGTAGAGTTTAGATATGTCACCAGTATTCCAATGGGTAGGAACTTGCATGTGGAAGACGTGATCTCGATTCACGATAGCTATAAACTTTCATTATTATAAATTTTGAAAGGAGAATTTTAATATTACGTTCATCTTTGTTGAGATCAAAGAAACCAGGGAGATCACCGTAGAACACATAGGGAAGTCTGCAAAATACTTCACTTAGAAATCAACATACTTGCACTCAACACTTGGCTTACTTGTTAATGTGGGCTTCAAGAACTTTTGGCGAAACAGTCTTGATTCTAAAGTTTTCATTGTCCTTGTCTAAACATCAGAATATTAGTCAAAAAATTTTTATGTCACATCAAAAAAATTACCCAAGTATTTGACCATTGTTGCAAAGCAGAGACCTGTGAGATAAGCATCGAAGCCAGCCTCATGAGCAAGACCCCCGTCCAGAGAATAGCCTTGTGATCCAGTAACAGGAGCTTCACATTCAAAATTAATCCCTTTATCTTTCTCACGTAAAATTATATCTTACGAGCATCAATAAGCTGGAATGGTGGTTCTTGGAGACATTTGACCATAGGCTCTAAAGTGGAGGTTTCCAACTTGTCAACCAGCACAGTTTGCGTGGCCAAAGTTTTTGTGTCAATGATCCTACAACAACGTAAAATATAATTATTAATCTTACTTTTAAAATATGACTTTACCTGGGAAAGGTATAAGAAACTAAGCGTTTGAAGCTTTTCATGTCTTCGGGAAGGTTGTCTACAAACTGGTGAACAGTGTGAATCACATCAAGCAGAACGTTGTGACCAACCACCAATTTTCCCTAAAAATGAATAAAACTAGATCCGATAAAGTATGCTAATGAAAAATTTAGTTTACCGAAGTTTTGATTGCACTGAGAACAGCGCTCATTCCACAATCTCCTTGCAACTCTATTATTTCTTCTTGAATTTGAGATTCTTCTCTTTTGATTTTGTCTGCAACTCCACCTTTGTACGCGTGGAGAGAGACATTTCTGCCTTCGCCTCTCTTGGTTAGGAGGAACACTTTATTGTCAAAATCATTTTGAATTAACTGGTGAAGCAAAAGTCGTTGGAATGAGTTAAAGTTGCCAAGAACAAGCTCTTCGTCATCACTTTCCAGGAATGCTTCGATTTTGGTCCTAGGTTGAGTAATTAAATAATTATGAACAATGAAAATATTAAGAGAGAGAAAACAGCTTACTTTATAGAGGCAACTACTTCTTTCTGGCCATCACTTGCCTGTAAATTTTGGCTAATACCCTGAGGCTTCGAGGCTCTTTCCTTGACTGCTTTCAATTTTTCTTCCAAAAAGGCAACTTTGACGTCACGATCCTCCTTTCGCAGCGTAATAATGCCTGGAACAAAAAAGTGTCAATGCCAACTCTTCAGTTATTGATAAAAATATTTAAAATAAATTTACCATCTTTAAAAACTTTGTTCAAGTCCATGCCATGATTGACCAAAAATTTCAGGCTATCAGTTTGGCATAAGAAATTATCATGAGTTGGAATGGTGTAAAAGTTGTAGGCCTTGTGAGTGAGTCTGAAAGAAAATATTATTTCATTCAAAAACATTGAAAGCTCTTTTTTGGCATTTTGTATGTACCTGCCATCGTCCGGATCTTCGTGAAATGTGCAGAGACCAAACTGTATGACCGAGAAATTTGCAGACTGCCTCAACTTTTCGTAGGCTTCTGGTGCAGTGTCATAAGGCCCAACTGAAGGTGCATCTTTGATGTTCAATCCAGTGAATTCAGTGTCGAAACTAATGAAGACGGAATCCTCAATGGCGGATCTGATTTGCGGCAGCACCGACTTAAAATCTGCAATGCAAAGGTTCTACGTTAGGGAATCTTCGCTCTAATCATAGTATGACGTGTTAAAACTTTTGTAAGTTTTGCAGACCGCTCAAGAATGCGCAAAATTTGTTCAAAATGCCGAATTTTGGCATCCACAAAATGCGGCACATGAAACTTAACCACGTTGATTTTCTAATTTCAATGTTAAACGAGTATGAAAATTGAAATTTAAATAAACTTACTAGCACTTGTAATTTCCATGATGGCTAGATGATCTCAAACTTCCAAATTTTGAAGGAAATCAATCGAATTATGAAAATTTTAGGCCAAATTCATGAGGGGGCGAAATTTTGCCACTCACCGCCCGCCATGCATCAAAAACTAACAAACATAACACCAACAAAACAGGGTAAATTTGCAAGACGATTATTATTGTTTTTAGTTTATTTGGATCTTTGATGCAAATTTAATTTTTAAGTTTCATTTAAATTTCAAAAATAAATTTCAGATGCAACTAAATTTTTATTATTATTCCGAAATAAGGAATTTTTCTAATTGATTCTGTTTTGTTATGTTGGTGTTTTGAACTCGTTCTCATGTCGACAGACTGACGTCACTTCGCTAAACATCGTCATTCGTCCATGTATTGTGAAAGTTTCTCAAAATTTGGATGAATTTGACTGGCTTCTAACTTTCCCATCGCGCGTGAGTACTTTTCTGAACGGCAATGGATTCGGACGAGGAAAATCTCTACGATGATGTCGATTCGGGAAACGAATCAAGCGGGGACGATGTGGACTTTGCGATGGAAGATGAGCAGGGCAATTCGCACAAAGAGAGACCCACCGAGGTCGAGGAATACCCTTTTGAAGTTTTGTCCACTGAAGAGATCGTGCAGCACATGGTTGACTGCATTAAAGACGTCAACACGGTTGTTGAGGTAATTTTTTTTGTATAAATATTATTCGATATTTTTGCGACAATTATTCGCACTTCATACATCCATCACGTATTATTATTTATACAACTATAGAAAGGTCTAACCTATTTACATTATCCGAGACCTTGGGTTGCGCATAAAAATTCACTCATACGCATCGATGCCTGCAGATCCCTGCAACGATCACCAGAATCCTTCTCAACCACTTCCGGTGGGACAAAGAAAAGCTGATGGAAAAGTATTATGACAGCCAAGACCAGGATCAGCTCTTCTCAGAGGCCAGAGTTGTGAGCCCCTTTAGAAAATTAGGAACAACTGCTAAAGTGAAGGTATAAAAATTTTAAAACATCAAACGCAAAATTAAATTCAAATTTATTCTACAACACTTTGTTTTCTAATGATTCATGATTATTTAATCAAGAGTTGAGACGCAATTATCTTGCACTTGGCGGCTTCTCTCTTCACGAGCGTCTATTTTTGTATTATCGGATTATAAGGAATTAGAGCTAATTTATTTTTAAATTTCAGCCGGCAACACGGAGAGCTTCAACGTCAGCTGCCGAAGAGTGCGAAATTTGTTTCAAAACTTTGCAAAATGAGCTGATGACGGGCTTAGAATGCGGACATAGATTCTGCGTGCAGTGCTGGGGCGAGTATTTGACAACCAAAATCATGGAGGAGGGAGTGGGGCAGACAATTGCCTGTGCTGCCCATGGCTGTGACATTCTTGTGGACGACGCCACAGTGATGCGCCTCGTCCGAGACTCCAAAGTACGGCTCAAGTACCAGCATCTCATCACCAACAGCTTTGTTGAGGTAAACAATAATTCCCATTAGATAAATTCCATAAATTCGAATGCAGAATTATATAATTTATTATTTTAATTAAAGTGCAATCGACTGCTGAGGTGGTGTCCTTCCCCGGATTGCAACAATGCCATCAAAGTGACACACGTTGAGTGCCGGCCAGTAACTTGCAAGTGCAACCACACTTTCTGCTTTGCTTGTGGGGAGAACTGGCATGACCCCGTCAAGTGCAGTCTGTTGAGGAAGTGGATCAAAAAGTGTGATGATGACTCCGAAACTTCAAACTGGATTGCCGCCAACACCAAGGTTTACATTCAAACAGTCATGAACGCTGGAAACCTATTTTTTTAAACCAAAATTTAAAATTCGTCGGCCATTTTATATTAATTTTGGTCTTTATGAAAAAAGTTGATTGTTCTTAATCCATACTATTACGTTTAAGATCCTGATTTAAGGTTTTTTAACAATCCAAAATAAGTTTCAAAATGATAAAAAGTACCTTAATTTTTATTGTTTAATGTTTGGAAATGTAAAATTTGTCATATTATAGCCATAGTTCGACAAGTTTATTGCTGAACCTGATTTAATTTAAAACCTATTACAGGAATGCCCTAAATGCCAAGTGACCATCGAGAAGGACGGTGGCTGCAATCACATGGTGTGCAAGAACCAGTCGTGCAAGGCTGACTTTTGTTGGGTTTGCCTCGGCCCTTGGGACCCTCATGGCTCCTCATGGTATTATTTGAATAATCGTCGATTAACATTTGATTTGTTGTAATCCCACATTCAGGTATAACTGCAACCGTTACGATGAGGAAGAAGCCAAAGCAGCCCGCGATGCTCAGGAGAAGTCTAGGTCTGCACTGCAACGCTACTTGTTCTACTGCAATCGGTACATGAACCATATGCAGTCTCTCAAGTTCGAGAGCAAGTTGTATGCCTCGATCAAAGAGAAAATGGAGGAGATGCAGCAGCACAACATGTCCTGGATTGAAGTACAGTTCCTGAAAAAGGCCGTTGATATCTTGTGCCAGTGCAGGCAGACGCTCATGTACACATACGTCTTTGCCTACTACCTGAAGAAAAACAATCAATCTGTGATTTTTGAGGTTCGTCTTTGTGCGTGTGTCACATTAGCAATTTTCATTGTGTTCTATTTTACCTTTTAGGATAACCAGCGCGACTTGGAAAGCGCCACTGAAACGTTATCCGAGTATTTGGAGAGAGACATAACTCAAGAAAATATGGCTGACATTAAACAGAAGGTCCAGGACAAGTACAGGTAGGACATCATTTCATAATTTTCTGCTTAATGAGAAAGGAGATTTCGTTTCGGAGATCATTGACTAGTTAAAAATTTGGCTTGTGAAGAAGCATGAAGTGATTTTTAACTTATGTGGCTACTCGAGAGAAATCAAATCTCCATTTCAATTTGCATGGTAGATTGATCTATTTTTTGGGCCCTTATTCCATATTAAGAGGCTCAAAAATATGTGCATGGTGGGTTGAAATCATATAATAATGAATTTCATGTTCGGTAGATATTGCGACAGTCGTCGCAAGGTGCTTTTGGAGCATGTCCACGAAGGATATGAGAAGGATTGGTGGTTGTACAATGAATGATGAGGTCCAGACAGTGAAGCAAACGAACACTCATTAAGTTAAGACCAGCATTAAAAAAGAGAAACGCGCAGGGTTAAGTGGGTATCACTGTTATTGTTTGCTACCGTTTGGCTTCCCTGTTTTTATCGACTTAATTCTTCCTGGTTGGATGCATTAGACAAACATGTCCATATATTATGTATGATGTTTTTTACAAAAAGAGATTCTTCCCTGATGATTTTCCCAACAGCAGAAGAAATTAAAATCACCGTGTAATAATCATTTTAGAAAAACTAATTTTAGTGGAAAAATCAGCAGTGGTAGTAAATTCGGAGCAACGCCTCTTTTTTTTCATTAATTCTTTCAATGTATTTTGGCTAAAATGTTAGAATTATAGGATCCTTAAAGTAGTCCTCTAAATCTGGATAAATTTGTTATTTTGTTAATTGAAGAGTCTGTATTGTTTAGTTAATTCCAGATAATTCTTGCAAAATCATAATCAGTGATTATGTACTCTCTAAATTTAACGCAGTAAAATATTTTATTGATATTTCAATCAATCTGTCTTTTTCTTTGACATGCACCTTTCTCTTAAAAATACTTATTTTCTAATTTTTCCCCCTCCCCTGCAGTAAGTGATTAGGCTTCGCACGGCAGAGGGCAAAGGCTTAGCGTTGTTTTTATCGTTTTTATATAATTTGAATTGAACTCCTTTGTGAGGAGGCTAATAAGGTGGCGCAAGTCTCAGAGCATTTGTAACTGACAAAAATCCGTGTTATTGGTATCGGCATCGCAACTTTAGATAGTGTTTAAAACTGTAAAATGAATTTTTTTTTACAATATTTTGAATATTTTAATGCGGAAATTTTTTTCCATTTGCGCAGCCCCATTTTAGATTTTTTGAAAATATTACGCAGATAAAGATAGAATAAAATTGGTCATATCGTCATTGAAATTATAAAAAAAAAATTGTATTCAATTAAATATTTTCATTTATTATTTTTTTTTATTGTTTATCCCTTATTATTATTTATAATTTTGACGCATTATTCAATAATAATTTAGGTTGTAAATTAATGCACCGTAATGCACCTGAATTTATAAAAAAAAAATTATTTTTTTAAATTTGAAAGTTTTTGGCTGTAAAAGCGGTTGAAAGTTTGACAGTTAAATGTAAAATGCAACAATAAAATTTTTAATTGCTACCTCATATATTGCATAATATATTATGCAGTATTTTTGTACTGTTGGTCATTTGATTGTTTGACAGTTGAGATTTCGAATCATTCCAACTTTGGAAGCTCACCTGAGCAGACGTTCTTGTTGATGGAATTTGAAGCAAGAATTCTTGTTTTTAAATTCGCCTCGTAGATTGCCTAGCCATTTCAGCTGCGCTGCTTGCACTATGAAGCGACGAAGAGCAAACCGGGGCAATCCCGAAAACTTACTTTTGAAAGAATCCTTCACCTGCTGCGAGGCCCTTCCTGAAAATTCGCCCACTATGCTTGCAATCCACAAGTTGCTGGAAAACAAGCAGGTCGAGGAATGGGCCGAGGAATACGATAAGGACCATCATCAGTTGGTTAAAGAAACAACAAGTCACCAGAAGCGCTTTGAGGACCAAATCGTATCCACACAAGGCTTAGATATCGAGGTAAATTCTTAACTGAAAATTTGAAATTCAAATTCTCACCAAGAATATTTTAGGATGTTTGCAAAGTCACTGAAAAATATCTTCAACTGCGAGACAAATACATCTCCATTCCACCCAAAATCCCACTGGGGATGTTTCAAGTGGAGCTGCCGATGATTGACCAGAAGCATCCAACTTTAAAATTCATCGAGAATTTCATTAGGGAGACGGTTAACCAAATCACGAAAATGCTACGTGATTCTTGCAAGAAGTAAATTATTTAAATCTTTTTTTTAAATTAGGCACAGATTAAATTAAAATTTTCAAAAAGGCTGCTGGAGGAATATTCAGCAAAATACAAGTCTGCGCGCAGAGTGCCAACCACCATCAAAGATATTGTGCAATTCTCTTTGGACATTGTTGCCTCGCAAGAAAAGGTCTTGCCCTCTCTATCCAACAAAGTGGACCAAGTGGAAACTCTGCTTGAATATTTGACCAAATACGGCTACTTCAGCGATGCTTTGATGGGTAAAGTTAAATTTCAGAATTTAATTTATTTTGGCTAAATTTGTGTAAAATAATTAAACTAATAGATAACGACTTTGCCCTCGGAACGCTGGTCATCAAATTCAGGGCCAGTGCACAAGGGGAGATGGAGGCAAACTTGGATAAGCTGATTGTTCGGAAAGCAGACGAAGAGAAAGTTTTGCAAGACAAGGTTGACAAATTTGGGGAGAGGCTGAAGGAACATATTGCTACCTGTGAACATTTCACGAAAGAACCTGTTCCTGAAGTCAACATTGAGAACCTGCTAGAGAGATACGGCAAAGCTGCTGAAATCTGGAACCAAATTCAAGATCTGTCATCTGAGCTTGAAGTATTAATTGAAAATAATGTTTTTTTTTTTAAATATTATGAAATTTTTATGAAATAGGCTTTGAACAAAGATGAAGTGCTGTTGGAATTAGACTCTACAAAATTCCCACTCCTCCGTTCTGGCACCGAAATGTTTGAGCCTCACTATTTGCTGTGGTTAAACAGTAAGAACTTTTACGAACGACGAGAAGTCTGGTTCAATGGTATAATTCTTTGCTTGAAAGGGTCCCTAATTGGTCCCTAAATTTATGTAATTGCAGGTCCACTTGCAGAACTTGATTCTTCAAGAGTGCAAGACGAAGTTGGCAATTTCAAGAACAATTTGTCAAAAGTTCGCAATGGCTTGGTTGATTATCCAGAATTACAACAAATTGCCAAAGACATTCTCCAAAATATCAGCTCTTTGAAGGACCCCATGAGGCTCTTGGACGTCATGTGCAACAAGGCGATGCGATCTCGACATTGGACCAAAGTATGCTGCATTATAAGTGTCAAATTAAAATATAAATTGAATTGTAAATAGATGGCAAAAGAAATTGGAACTGAAAGTGATTTGGAGCAGCTGGCTACGTTGCAAGCAAGCATCGATTTTGGTCTTGTTCATCATCTCAAAACAATGGAAGATATTTCTATTGTGGCTACAAATGAGTTTGAGGACAAACAGAAACTTGATGCCATGAAAGAGGAGTGGAAGGATGTTCAATTTGAACTCAATTACTACAAGTAATATGCTATTTTCTTTCTTGATTTTAGTTGAATTCAATACATTGAAATTTTTCAAGTTTCTTACTTCTTATAATGATTAGAGCACACTAAATTTTGTTAACAATTTTATTTTTGCAGAGACACTGGAGTGAAGATTTTGTCATCAGTGGACAAGATCCAAGAAGCTCTTGAAGAGCACTGCTCTAAGTCACAGAGACTTCTCAATTCAATCTTTGTTGAACCCTTTTATGATGAGATGGAAGAGTGGACAAACAGACTCGTGAAAATTACAAAAATCTTCGACGTCTGGATTCCAGTTCAGCAGGGCTGGATGTACTTGCAACCAATCTTTGGCTCCCCAGACATCCAACAGCAAATGCCCCAAGAAGGTCAGCAGTTTTCGCGAGTCAATCGGATCTTCGTCAAGGTCATGCAGTACACCATGGCGCACGACCTTGTGCTGGATGCTACGGAGAAGGCGAACCTGTTGGACGATTTGAAGGAGTGCATGGCCTTGCTTTCAGTCATCAAGCAGAAGGTCAATGACTATTTGGAGAAAAAAAGAGCTGCTTTCCCAAGGTAGTTTATAGTGTTTTTTTTAAAGCTGTGGTAGTGAATTTGTTGTTTTAATATTCAGGTTTTTCTTCCTCTCGAACGACGAGCTGCTGGAGATTTTGGCTGAAACCAAAGAGCCACTCAGGGTGCAGCCCCATCTTAAGAAATTCTTTGAAGGCATCAACAGACTCCAGTTTGACGAGAATAAAGATATTGTCGGAATGGAGTCGGCAGAGAAGGAGAAGGTCAGCTTTGACAACATCATCAAGCCTGCCGACGCCAAAGGCCTTGTAGAGAAGTGGCTTTGTGAGACGGAAAGCGAAATGTTTGCCTCCATCAAGAGAGAGGTGATTCTGTCCATCGACGACTACTGGAACACACCAAGACGAGAATGGGTGCAGAAGTGGATTGGCCAAGCAGTCATTTGTGGTGCCACAGTTGCGTGGACCAAGGAGGTTGAAGCGGCCATCTCTGCAGACCAATCTGGAAACTGTACCCAGCTGAAGGCCTACCACAAGCAGTGTGAAGATCAAATCACGGAGCTCGTTGAGCTTGTCCGCACTGATCTTCCGGCTGGCTTGCGAATCACCCTGGAAGCTTTGATTGTAATTGACGTGCACGCCAAAGACGTTGTCAATCTGCTCATTGAAGAAGGTGTCTCCAGTGTCGACAGCTTTGTGTGGCTCAGTCAACTGCGCTACTACAAAGTGAATGATGATATCCGAGTGAGGATGGTGCAGACTGATGTGCCTTACGGCTGCGAGTACCTGGGCAACACTCCTCGCCTGGTCATCACTCCTCTCACTGACAGATGCTATCGCACTCTCATGTGCGCCATGGACCTGTACCTTGGGGGTGCACCTGAAGGTCCTGCTGGAACCGGTAAAACGGAGACTTCGAAGGATTTGGCAAAGGCTTTGGCCAAGCATTGCGTGGTCTTCAACTGCTCCGACCAGCTAGATCACGTTGCCATGGGAAAATTTTTCAAGGTTTGTTTGAAATTTTTTAATTTTTATTGTAGAAAATTTGTTTCACTTTAATCAGGGAATTTCACAATGTGGATCGTGGGCTTGCTTTGACGAGTTCAATCGCATTGAGTTGGAAGTGCTTTCCGTGGTTGCAGCCCAAATTCAAATGATCCAAGAGGCCAAGATGAAGCAGCTAACTATGTTTGATTTTGAGGGCAGCAAAATTAAACTGAATCCCTCTTGCCAGGCTATCATCACCATGAACCCTGGGTAATTTTATGGAATATGAAAAATTATTCATTGAACTAAATCTTGTTCTTCAATATAGCTATGCTGGTCGCCAAGAACTCCCTGACAACTTGAAGCGTCTTTTTCGACCTGTTGCAATGATGGTTCCTGATTACGCTTTGATTGGTGAACTTTCACTTTACTCAAGAGGATTCAAGAATGCCAGACCGTAATTTTTTCTGATTTTTCTTTAAACTCTTTATTTACCAAAAATTGACTTGCAGGCTTGCTGTAAAAATTGTCCAGACTTACAAACTTTGCTCCGAGCAGCTTTCCTCACAGCCCCACTACGATTATGGTATGAGAGCTGTCAAGTCAGTCCTAACTGCTGCTGGCAACTTGAAGCTCGCCGACACATCCGGTTCGCAGAGCTTGGAAGACGAATCCAAACTTGTCCTCCGAGCCATCATTGATGTGAACAGGCCAAAGTTTTTGGCCGAGGATGTGCCACTTTTTGAGGGTATCACTGCTGATCTGTTCCCGGGTGTCGATCTGCCTCCACCAGACAGGGGAGAGCTAATCGAGGCACTTTTGGTGGAGCTGAAGGAGCGGAACCTCCAAGCTACCGACTGGTATATGGAAAAGCTGATTCAGCTATTTGAGATGATCCTTGTTAGGCATGGCCTTATGCTGGTCGGACCACCATTTGGAGGAAAGAGCAGTGCCATTAAAGTAATTAAGTTCTAGGTTTAATTCAATTTTTGCTACTGAGTATTTTTTCAGAGCCTCTGCGCTGCCCTGATTAGGATTTCTAAAAATCCTGACAAAAAGATGGACGAGAGTGGTGTCATTTACCGCACTATCAGCACCAAGTCAATCACCAGTGACCAATTGTATGGATTTGTTGACCCAGTCTCTCAAGAGTGGCATGATGGTAATTTTACTTTTTTATATTTGATATGATTGAATAAAAATGGCATTTTTATTAGGTGTTTTGGCAAACACTTTCCGTGACTACGCAAGATCAGAGGAGCCTGAGAGGAAGTGGATCATCCTTGATGGACCCGTGGATGCTGTTTGGGTTGAGAATTTGAACACAGTCCTGGACGACAATAAGAAACTTTGCCTCTCGTCTGGTGAAGTTGTTCAGGTATTTTTCCCAATAAGCTTGGGGTTTTATCCCACTCTACTTAATTTTCAATTGCAGATGTCCAACACAATGAACCTTATTTTTGAAACCGGTGATCTTGATCAAGCTTCTCCTGCTACTGTGTCTCGCTGTGGCATGGTCTTTATGGACCCAATGCAACTTGGAGTGAAATCTCTGATCAAATCATTCATTGAAAAGCCACTCAAGGAGTTGCTGCCCAAGCAGGAACAGCAGTTGCAGTTAATGCATGAAGTTCTGCTGTGGATTGTCCCTCCAACATTGGCAGCAACAAAGGGGCTGCCGAAGTTTGTAGAGATGTCTGAAATGTACCAGTTCAATGTAAGGCTCAATAGTGAATTGAAATTAAAAAGTCGATACAAATTTACCTTTGGTTTTTTAGGCATTTGAGAGGCTTTTCCTTGGGATGCTGAAGCAAAAACCCGACTTTTCCATATCTTGGATGCATGGCCTGATGATTTTCTGTCTTATTTGGGGTGCTGGGTCAACCTTAACTGGTATTTTAACTATAATTTAATTTATTTTTCGCTTTTAATGACATTTAACCAAATTTACAGCTGAAGGAAGGGAGCTCTTTGACGCCTCTTTCAGGGCAATTCTCAAGGACAGCAGTAAGAAGCCAGAAGGATTTGAGCTATCAGACCACCAGATGATTCCCAGCAAAGGCACTCTTCACGATTGGGCTTACACTGATAGTGGCGGCTGGGTTCAGTGGGAAGAAACACTGGAAGGAGGAGACAGCGGTGGCAACAAGGCTTTGGTCATGACGCCAGAAACCACTTGCATGCTTTTTTTCCTCAAAACTTGCCTGGACTGTCAATTCCCCATTCTCTTTGTGGGACCAACCGGAACTGGAAAATCAGCCGTCACTCTGGACCACTTGCTGTCATTGCCATCGGAGGAGTGCACCAGCAATGTTGTCAACTTTTCTGCACGCACCTCGGCTGCTCTTACTCTTGACCTCATCATGGACAAACTGACAAAGTAAATTTTGTTTTAATTTTATTAACGTAAAACTTATTTGAATCTTGCAGGCATCCAAAGAGAGTATTTGGCCCAGAACACGGCAAAAGATGTGTTGTATTTGTGGACGACCTGAACATGCCCCAGAAAGAGTACTACGGTGCGCAGCCACCCATTGAGCTTCTCCGTCAGTGGCTTGATCACGGTTACTGGTTCGACTTTGACACCACCAACATGTACATCAAAGATGTGGTAAGAATTTTTCCATCCCCATCAGAACACAAATTAAAGTCACGACTTAATTAAATTATAAGCGGCTTGTGTCGGCCATGGCTGTGCCCGGAAACAATGATATTACGGATCGTTTGCTGCGGCAGTTCATCATCATCGGAGTTGGCAAGTATGCAGATGCTACAGTGGAAAAGATCTTTGCCAACATGATTGTGGGCCATTTTCCTTCGGAAGTTGTCTCTTTGGGTGGAGTATGTTAAATTCAAATGTGCTGTAGACCCTATTTTAATTATCATAATATTTCAACAGGCACTTGTGGTCGCAAGCATGGAGGTTTTTGCGCAAGCATCGGCTAACTTCAGACCACTGCCTTCAACTTCTCACTACCTGTTCAACCTGAGAGACATTTCCCGGCTGATCCAAGGCTGCATGATGGTGCCGGCAAAAAAGCTGACTGATCAGGAGAAACTGATCAGATTGTGGGCGCACGAGGCCTACCGCATTTTCTACGACCGACTCGTCTCAGTTGAAGAAAGGTAATAATTTAATAGCAATTCCTTCCCACTATTCATTTTAATAAAAATATCTTTAACAGAGAAACATTTTTCAACATCATCAAAGAAACTGTGAGCAAGTGCTTTGGCAAACAACTGAAAGCCGTTCTTGGAGAACTTGGAGACTCCACAGAAGAGCTGAGCGATCAAAACATGTCAAAGCTCTATTTTGGCAATTTCATGATTCCTGATGCCTACCCAAAAGAGTATGATGAGGTAAAAATAGTATTATTTCCGTTTAATAAATCATAAATTATTTCAAAAATTTAAAGATCCCCGACGAATCAAAACTGAAGGCTCGTTTGGAGTCTTTCCTGAGAGAGTACAATGAATCCGCTCGATCGCCAATGTCCTTCGTGATGTCTCCCTATGCTATCGGCCACATCTGCAGAGTTTCCAGAGTGTTGCAGCAAGCTAATGGACACGTCCTACTAATGGGAATGGGTGGAAGTGGACGCAGAAGTGTTGCCAGATTTGCTGCAAATTTGGCTGGTTACGACATTTATGAGATCGAAATGACAAAAAGCTTTGGAGTGACTGAGTGGAGAGACCACCTCAGAATTTTGCTCAAAAGAGCTGGAGCAGAATGCCGTCAAATCGTCTTCCTTTTCTCGGACACACAAGTTGCCGACGAATCTTTCTTAGAAGACATCAACTTGCTACTCAACACTGGCGACATTCCCAACCTGTACAACTCTGAAGATAAGGGTGTGATCCTTGACGAGGTTCGGAAAATTGCCGAGAAGCAAGGCAGAAAGCTCGGCCAAGGAGTTCTTGCTCAATATTCCTTTTTTATCGAGCTCGTAAAGCAAAACTTGCATGTTGTGTTGGCCATGTCCCCCATCAGCAAGGAGTTCAGGGAGAGACTTCGCATGTTCCCCTCCCTCATCAATTGCTGCACTTTGGACTGGCTCACTAACTGGCCTGAGGACATGCTGCAGGACGTGGCCAACGATCGATTGCAGGAAATTGACTTGTCCGGAGGTCTAGGCGATAAAGAGCTGTCCGACCAAATCAAGAACCGCTGCATCGAGATGTGCATGTCCTTCCACACAGACGTGCTGGAACTTAGCCAGGTGTACTTCAACAACACCAAAAGGAGGGTGTACATCACATCACCCTCTTTCCTGGAGCTTTTGAACAGCTTCAAGGCCCTTTATGCAACATGCCGAGACAAAATCGAGGCTCAAGTAGGTGGATATCACGGTGGTTTGGAAAAACTCGCTTCTGCCTCACAACAGGTTTTTTGAGAAAAATACCAAAATTATTAATTGTACATAAACAACTTTATAATTCAGGTCGCTGAGCTCCAAGAGGTGCAAAAAGTGCTGGAGGTTCAGCTGAAGACCAAAGTTGCGGAAGTCTCAGCCCTCATTGAAACCTTGGAGGTTGAGAAAACCAATACAAACACCATTAAGCAAACCGTCCAAGGGGAAGAAGAGCTTGCTAAAATCTCTGCTGCCGAAGTGGCCAAACTTGAGGCAGAGTGCCACACTGAGTTGGAAAAGGCTCAGCCAGCCCTTGAGGAAGCAGCCGCAGCCCTGGACACTATCAAACCTGCTGATATCACAGTAGTCAAAGCAATGAAGAATCCACCTCATGCTGTAAAAACAGTCATGGAGGCTGTTTGCATTATGTTGAAGATCAAAGCAGAGAGGAAGCCTGGACCGGACGGGAAAATGATGCAAGAATTCTGGGGACCATCTCAGAAACTGCTTGGTGACATGAAATTCATTGACTCACTGAAAAACTACGATAAAGACAACATCCCTGATGACGTAATGAAGACAATCAGGACAAAGTAATATTAATTTGATTTAAAAAAATGCACTTAATTTTTTTTTTTTTATTCTAGATATCTCACCAACCCCAACTTTCAAGTCGAAGTGGTTCGAAAGTCTTCTGCTGCGTGTGAGGGTCTTTGCCTTTGGGTGAATGCCCTTTCCAAGTACAATGAGGTGTACAAAGTGGTGGGCCCTCTCAAAAAGAAATTCGAAGAAGTTCAAGCTGACGCAAATGAGAAGAGAAGATTGCTTGAGGAGAAGCAGGAGACAGTTCGCAAGCTGGAGGAAAAGTTGCAAGTCCTTGAAAACCAGTACCAAGAGCAAGCAGATATTCAAGCCAAGCTGGAGGCCGACAAAGAACTCTGTGCTATCAAACTGAAGAGGGCGGAAGAACTTATTTGTAACAAATTTATTTGAAATTTTTTTTACTGCGCTAACCTATTTTCTTTTGCAGCTGGTGTCGGAGGGGAAAGAGTCCGATGGGCTGAATTGGAAACTTTCCACCGAGGACGCTTAGCCACTGTTGTTGGAGACATGCTCCTGTCAGTGGGAATCATTGCTTACTTGGGCCCATTTTCTGTTGACTACAGAAAGGTAAATAGAGCAGTTGCCAAATTATTGTATGAAAAAAAGTATTTTCATTTTTTGTTCTGATTAAGAAAGAACAAAGATTGATTAATTTTTAATTGGTTCCAGGATATTCAAAAGAAATGGATCAAGAAGTGCAAAGAGATCAACATTCCCTGCTCAGACAGTTACTCCATGCTCAGTTCACTGGGCGATCCTGTGCAAATTCAAGACTGGGCCATTGCTGGCCTGCCCGTGGATGACTTCTCCCAAGATAATGCCATCATTTCCCACAATGCTGGCAGATGGCCTCTCTTCATCGATCCCCAGGGTCAGGCCAATAACTGGATCAAAAATGCATACAAAGATTACAACCTGGTAGTCCTGAAAATGTCAAGTCCAAAATATACTGATGAGCTGCAAAGAGCAATCACCAGTGGATATCCAGCTCTTATTGAAGATGTCGGTGAAGAACTTGACCCAGCTTTGAGTGAGCTCAATATTTATAAATTGAAATGAATAATTTTACATTACCATTCAATTCTAGATCCTCTGTTCCTCAAGCAAACTTATGTTCTTGGTGGAATGCTGAACATCAAAGTGGGAAACGACGTTGTTCGCTACAATGAAAACTTCAAGCTTTTCCTGACCACTCGCCTGTCAAACCCTCACTACCTGCCCGAAACTGCCATCATGGTGACGCTCCTTAACTTTGCCATCACGCCGCAGGGTCTTGAGGATCAGTTGCTTGGCCTTGTGGTGGCTACAGAAAGGCCGGATCTGGAAGAGTGTCGGCAGCTTCTGATTGTGGAAGGCGCTCAAAATAGGAAGGAACTCGTCGAGACCGAGAGGAGGATCTTGGACGTTCTTTCCAAGGCGGAAGGTGACATTCTTGAGGATGAGACGGCAATCAACACTCTTACCAATGCGAAGGTATTTAAATTTTTCATTAACGTGGTGCAAAAATAATTTATTTGCTGTGCACAGAAATTGTCAGAAACAATTAAAGCAAAACAAGAGAAAGCCAAAGAGACGGAGAAACTGCTCGAAGACACAAGGGCCATTTACTTGACTGTAGCTCGTCACGCTTCTGAACTCTTCTTCTGTATTTCTGCTCTTGGAAGCTTGGAACCAATGTATCAGTACTCTCTGAATTGGTACATGAGCCTTTATGTTCATGTAAGACATATCAACCTTATAATGGTATTTTTACTAATTAATTATAATTTTAGTCAATCAAAACAGCAGAAAAGCCAGAGGACCCATCAATGTGGCTTGATGTCATTAAAGAGACTTTCACCTACAACCTCTACAGAAACGTCTGCCAATCTCTATTTGAGAAGCACAAACTCATTTTCTCCTTCAACTTGTGTGTGGCCATGATGCGACTCAGTGTATGAAATTTAAATACCTTTTTAAACGAATATTCCTGATTTCTTTTGATTAGGGTGTTATTGAGGAAGAAGCACTAAAATTCCTTCTCACCACTGGAGCAACTGGCGACATTAGTGAAAATCCGGACCCTTCGTGGCTCACTGAGAAGATGTGGGGAGACATTTGCAGGGCTACAAAAATGATTGCTCAGTAAATATTAATTATTACGCTTGAAATTTAATGTTTTTATCAATGTTTCACACACTTTATAGACTCTCGGAATTCGAAAGCAGCGTAAGACTAAGTGTGAAGCAGTGGGAGGATTGGTTCAATGACCCGAGTCCCCATGAAAAGACGCTTCCTGCACCGATGGACAAAGTTTGCAGGCTGGGATGGCTGGCAGTCATCAAGTGCCTTAAGCCTAACAAGCTTGTCCCTGCTGTCCAGAAGCTGATTGCCAACGAGATTGGTTCAAAATATGTCGACCCACCAACCTTCAACCTGAGCAAAGTCTTCGAAGACTCCACTTGCTCAACTCCTCTCATCTTCATCCTTTCTGCGGGCTCCGATCCCACGTCCTCACTTTACCAACTGGCCTTTGAAATGGACGCCAAGAAGCTGATTTTCTTCTCTATGGGCAAGGGTCAGGGCGAGAAGGCTGAGATTGCTATCAAGCAGGCCGTCAAGTCTCGCTCTTGGGTCATCCTGAACAACTGCCACCTGGCCACAAGTTGGATGGCTCAACTGGAGCACCTGTGCAACGAGCTTTTGAAACCGGACGTAGCTGACAAAGATTTCAGACTGTGGCTGACCAGCTACCCATCGTCTTCATTCCCTGTGTCCATCCTTCAAAGCGGCATCAAAATGACCAACGAGGCGCCTAAGGGACTGCGCTCGAACATGATGCGCATGTACCTTAATGAGCCGCTCAGCTCTGAAGACTACCTGTCCAAGCGGTCTGTAGCACACCAGAAGCTGCTCTTTGGCGTTTGCCTTTTCCACGCCATGGTCCAGGAAAGACGAAGCTTCGGGCCCTTGGGCTGGAACATCCCGTACGAGTTCAACGACTCTGACTTTGATATTTCAATCAAGCAGATGGATGTAAGCAAAATCGATTGTGAATTTTGTCAATTTTCTCTGGTAAAACAAATATTTAATTCTAGAAATTCCTCAAAAACGCAACAAAGATCCCATTCGACGCCTTGCACTATTTGATTTCTGAGTGTTTCTATGGAGGAAGAGTCACTGATGGCAACGACAGACGCCTGATTGCTTCTCTCCTGACCAATTTCCTGTCATCTGCTGTTGTCGAAGAGGCTGGGTAAAATTTAACCATTAAAAACAACACAGCAATGATTTATTATTTATTGCAGCTACAAATTTTCCCATAGTGGCGTTTACTCAATGCCAGAGAACACCCTGCAAGAAGGCTGCATTGCCAACATTCAAGCCATGCCTCTCACTGCTAGACCCGAGTTGTTTGGCCTCCACGAGAATGCCGAGATCACAAAGGAAATGCAAGAGACCAATGAGGTAAAATAAAATCACAATTATTAATTATACGGAAGCAACTTATTCCAATTGTTAGTTCTTGAATGGAGCTTTGGAGACTCAACCTAGCATTGGTGGAATGGGCGCTGGAGGCGCTTCTCTGCAGGTTCTGCACGAGATTGCTGAAGACATTTTGGAGAGAATGCCGGACGGATTCAACTTGAAGGTAGTGGGCGAAAAGTTCCCCTTCGATTACAACAACTCCATGAACACTGTCCTGCGCCAAGTAATAAGAAATAATTAAATTATATTCCGTAATGCAATTCTCTTTTTTGGTGCAGGAGCTCATCAGGTTCAACAGACTGACCAGCAGGATTCGTTCCTCGCTTTCAATGATGCAAAAGGCCATCAAAGGTCAAGTGGTGATGACCCCTGAGCTTGAGGAAATTCAGGGCAGCCTCCTTCTTGGTCGAGTGCCTCAGTTCTGGCTGGCCAAGTCGTACCCATCACTGAAGCCTCTGGCCAGTTATGTCAACGACCTTCTCAAGAGGCTTCAGTTCTTTGACGACTGGATCAAATTTGGAGCGCCCAACGTCTACTGGATCTCCGGATTTTACTTCACCCAGTCTTTCCTGACAGGCGTCATGCAGAACTACGCTCGATTCTTCAAAGTGCCCATCGATGCTGTGGGCTTCGAGTTTGACATCCTAGACACAGACACTGCCAGCGACGCACCAAAAATCGGGGCCTACTGCAATGTAAGTCAAGATAATCTGGAATCGCTTTGATAATTATTTTGGGCACACACAGGGCCTTTTCTTGGAGGGGGCGCGTTTCAACCGAGAAACAGGGCTGCTGGACGAAAGTCTGCCCAAAGTCCTCTTCGATCAACTGCCAATTATTTGGCTGAAGCCTGGAATTAGGGTAAAACAAATTTAACATTTGCGTTGATGTTTTTATTGATCGAATTTTATATTCATAGGCTGAGTTCCAGCCAAGGCCGATTTACGGATGCCCGGTGTACAAAACCAGTGCTCGGCGTGGCATCTTGAGCACCACTGGCCACTCGACCAACTTTGTGATGGAAGTGCAGCTGCCCAGTGATAAACCTGAGAATCACTGGATCAACAGAGGAGTGGCAGCCTTGTGCCAGCTTGACGATTAAGTTAAACAGTGTGTTCTTTTGTTGACTAAAATATAAATTTTGATTTTTGTTAATATATTTTTAATTTTAATATAATATAAACAACTTGAATAATGCTAGATTAAATAAAAAGATGCAGTAATTCTTATTTTTATATAATAATAATTTTTAGAGACTTTGAATGGTATTTCAAAATTTAAATAAACACGGTCAATTTCAGAAAAATATAATATTGATATAAATTTATTTTGAAGTTAAACATAATAATTATTAATCATCATTTATATCCACGAGTGGCTTATCAGAAATTTTCTCCAAAACTCCTAGCGACCCGTTTAGTCTTACTATGTCTCCTGTAAACATAATGTTAAAAAGGTCATCAGTTCAGTTTTAAATTTTCAGTCACCTTTGGGTAGACAAAATTATAAACTTGATGCTACTAACCTGTGCGGAAGATTTGGGTTGCGTTTGTCGCTCCAACGATGCATGGCAGTCCGTACTCCCTGGCAATTACGGCTCCTACACACATACGACATGACAATTTTATTAGGTTAGAGAAAAGGCCGGAGCCGTGTGGGTTTATCGGTGGCCGATCAAAGTCCCCGGAGAGAAAGAAAATTTGGTGTGTCACTCACCGTGAGATATGAGCCCTCCGAGCTCGGTGACTATGCCGGCCAGCAAAGGGAAATAGGGACTCCAGCCGATGTCTGTGCAGTGGGTGATGAGAATGTCGCCGCGCACAATGTCAGCCGTCTGGCTCAGCTCGGAGACAACGCAAGCCCGGCCCAAAACCACCCCTGAGCACACTGGCGTCGCCTTCATCGTTTGAATTCCCACCATAGAATTTTCTTGTTCCTGAATAAGAAAAAATAAAAAAGTCACTTTCATTAATTTAAAATAGATTCTTGAAAAAAATCGTGTTGTTTTGCAGGCATTAATTAATGCGATATTTCTCTCTGACCACATGCAAAGAAGGATTTAACCCACCTGGACTGGTCGCGGCACCCCGAAGAAAATTTCCTCGTACTTCAAGCTCTCCCAGTGGTGCCAAAGCCGTCTCCTTCTTGCCGCCCTGCAGATTTAATTAAGTATAACAGAAAAGGGATTCTACTGCAAGTGTGATGATATAATTCTGCAAAAGACCTACTTGGCAAGCAGCACGGGGTCTCGATGGCTCACCAAACGGCTGATCTCGTGGTTGGTCATGTAGAAGAGCAGGTCCGCCTCAGGTAGACGACCCTCACGCACCAATAATCGAGCTAAACGCCGATACGCCGTTCGTAAGACGTGCACCGCACAAATTAATCCAGATTTCGACTTTTCTCGGCGCGCTACCGCCGTCCGACAGTGCGGCAGTAAAAAGCGCAGGGCTCGTCTGAAATACAACACTAACATTATTACAAAATATAGGCAAGTTTTTAATTTCGTTTGAGGTGAAATTGCAATTTGTTGACAGAATAATGTGAAATATACCAGCAAAAATTTTTCGCTTTTATCTGAGATCACCACAACTGGTTTTTATAACTTTTAATTGTTTTGTTAAAATTAGACTTTATTTTAATTAAAATTATTTGAAAAACAAATGTGTAAATTAGTTAATTTGATAAAAATTCTTTGATACGACAATATTTTTAAATTATTCATTTAAGAAGATTCTTTAGTTTATCGATTTTAACAATTTTTCTTTCCCAGAGCCTTTAAATTTTTTTCCTTAAAAATTTCAAAAATTTAAATAGCTAATTTTTTTTCGCTTAATGAGTGGTGCACACTTCTCCCATTTGACTTTAAAATTCATAGTATTTATTCTTATTTGATTCAATTACATTCCATAAAAAATTTGCAATCTTGCCTTGTTCCGCCTTTGGTTGGCGATTTGAGAATTTGGCAGGTCTCATTGACCGACAGGGATATGGCATTTTCAGGCGCGGGGTGCGGACTCTTGACCAGCGCCTGCAGCGTTTTGATGAGGCTCTCCGGATTCATTCCCCATGTGGCCGTGTGAAACTCGAACTGCGAAAGCGAGACAAATTCAATTTTCGTCTGCAGCTTTATAGCGGCGACAAGACAGACCTCTCTGATGGACCGGTGGCCGTGCGCTTCGAGGAATGAAGTGAATTTGGAGGCCGCTTCCGACTCCTTCAGAATCCAATTAAAAGCGATCGCCGGCTCGGCGGACGTGAAAAAATCAGAATCCTCCTCGGCGATCATGGCAGCTATTTCGCGCAGCTGGCTCGGAATTTCGGCCGACTCAACGTTCGAACATGACGAGAGCAGCAAAGATATGTCGGTGTAATGATCTGTGCACCAATCTAAGTAAAAATTGAAATAAAATAAAAATCTAGGAGAAAACAAAACATGAGATTGTAAATTTTAAAATGAAAAAGAATTTATATTAACTAAGCATATTCTTTTGTAGTGAAGAAAATGATAATTTGAATAAATATCAATTATAAAACAGTAGCTGAAAGTTATAATATAATTTTGAAATTTAACAAATAACTAATTATATCTTTGTGTTGGTCATACGATAAATTATATCAAATGATGGATCAGATAAAACAAAATGAACTGTTGGATGGGAAAAAAACTAATAAATATTTTTAAAACAGTTGACTTTTAAAATAATCTTAGCCTCAAAACACCTCAAAATTAGAAAAAAAAAAATTCTTTACCATCGTTGTTTTCTGTGAGAACCGACATGGCAGCGACCTGTGTGAAAATGCTAACCCTGGACATGTGGCCGTGCATTCTAATAATCTAAAGAGTTGTTTTGAGCAAAAAGAGCCTGGAGTAAAAAAATTATAATCAAACCTTCACAAAGTGAGGCAGACTTTGTTGAATAGCGCTCATCAGCTCTTCCGCGCTGGCATTTTTTGAGTGGCTCACTTTGTAATTCTGCACCTCCCTTTTGCCAGATTTTTCTACTTTGCCGGCAGACATCGTGTCCTATGTGAGAATTTTTAATTTGGCAACAATCGAATAAAAAGCGGAGTGTACCATAAGCATGTCGTAAATGGTGAGGAATTTCGTGAAAGAACTCATGTAGCCGAACCTTTGCACGCCGGTCGAGTGGAGGCGCTCGTCGGTGACCAAATGGCCAAACACAGCCAGGTCCATCACTTTGTTGGTGGTCCCAATTTTTTCATCAAGGTTGCTCAGCACCGTCTGCAATTAATTAAACTTTCGAGTGGTATGTCGTCGTAAAAAAAGTGAAGCGTGTTTTAATAAAAATTTCGATTAAGTGCTGCTGAAGCAGTTAGGCAACTAGCTCGTCTGCAGAGTTATGCAGGCTGCATAATAATCAATCTCACAGGCGCTCTTGATGTAAATTAGAAGCAAATTGAAATGGAAGCATAGTGCGTTTCCTTCCGTGGGCTGACAAAATTACAGAAAAAAACGACACTCAAATATAATTGAGAGTTTAAAAAAAATAATTCCAGTCTACAAATTACTTTTCCCATGGGCGAATTAATAAACTAGATAAATGGAGATTAGCGCTAGTTTCAATTTGAGCGCCCATTGTCAAGCACGCAGTTGGTTTGAAAGGCTGCGAGAGTGCCATGCGAACAAAAAAAAAGGATGGAGAGAGAAAGAGAGCTCACGTTGATGACGCTGATAACAACGTGGTTTGAAGTGGTGCCAACAAACGACTGGTATAGATTGCAGAAGGACCTATTTTTGTTCCTCTTGATGCATTGTTCTTGGATCTCCAGGTCCAGCAGCCTGGTCAACACCGACTGGGTCAGCGGCTTCGTTGCACCGGGGAACACCTCACTGCAGCATGTCAAATCGATTTTTGCACCAATTATTATTAGCATTCAAGCGCGGGTCTGTGCACGTACCCAGTGTTGGCGATTGATAGAATGTCGTTGTCCATGACGATGGGCATGTCTAGCTCGTGCTCCAGTTCAAAGTCAGTCCAAGAGTCTAGGGCTGTGATGGGACGTGCTTGCAGCAGATGAATCTTGTCCTGAACAATTTTTTTAATTGTTACACGAATATTAATATATTGAAATTAAAAAAATAGGAAAAATAAGGATGGAGGTGTCAATATGAGATTTTATTTCAAATTAAATTCTAAAGATTTGCTCAAATGTTGTGGTTTTACAAATTGTTTGATGTGCTAAAATTGAAATTGTGATTTTAAAAACTGACGTCAACTAAAAGGGGTCACCGGTAATTGATCTAAATAATTTTACTGATTTTTTTTACCTCAAGAACAGCCCACTCAATGTCCCTTGGCGAACCGAATTGCCTCTCGAGGGCCTCTCCAATTTGGGCCAGTTTGAGCAGCAGATCGTCACTCAAGCACAATTTTTCCCTCTGCTCGTCGGCAATATTAATACTTTCGGTGCCCTCGCCACCTGAGAGAGCAGACGGTCAAATTTTCCCTTTTTTCTAATATTTTCCTTACTCGTTGACAGAAAGATGCTGTCCTTTTTCGAGCCAATCTGCACTTGCTCGATCTTCAGGCTATTGTTATTCCGGCTGCGTGAGATCAGAACTGTGTCCGGTTCAGCGCTCGCCGACACGACGCTCTGCGTCGAAAAAAAGAAAATTGTGTCAAATTCACTCTTTGGCTGACATCAACAGGAAACTTTTTTGCAGTAATTTAGCATTTTTTTTGCATTAAAAAATATAATTATTACAAAAACTACTTCATCATTTAAAATTCACTTTAATAATTTTATTTTATCATGATCCGAGTTTGCTCCAATCGATCAGCATAGATATGAAAATTAAATTTGACTTAATTCTTATACTTTTTAGGGTTCCTTGTAAATGCATTATGTAGACGGTTAATTTAATAATTATCAGCAATAAATTTTTTTATTACCTCTCCCAGACCATAATTGGCAGTGATGACAATTTGTCGCGGGTTTCCGGTAAAGGGGTGCCGCGTGAAAAGAACTCCCGCGGCATTCGCGGGAACCATGACCTGCACCACGACGGCCATCCCAGGGTCCAATTCTTGTCCATGCTGCCTGAACAAAATGATTAAAACGGAGAATATTAAGATGTCATTTATGACTACCATCGGTACATGACCGAATGTTCGGAAAAGAGGGAGGCCCAACACTTCATCACAGCCTGAGCGACGTTTTGACGTTTGACGCCCAAAATTGTTGAATTTTGACCTGCACTTGAGAGGTCAGCCGAGTCCTCTCCAATTGCAGATGAACGCACGGCAAAAATAGTTTCGTCACTGCAAAATTAAAAATTTTTTCATTACAATTGCAAGAAAAATCTTAATCAATAAATACCTGTATTTATCTAAATAGTTTTCCATCACATTTGTCACATCTTGGCAAAGTTTTGTAACTTCAAATGCTTCAGCCACTCTGAAAGTTTTGATAATTAAATAAGGTGGTGGAAATCTTCTTCATTACTCTAAGATCTGATTTTTATTACTAAAAAACATTACAAGTAAGACAATAATATTTAAAAAAATTAATTCTTTAATTAAAGTTTTGAACGGATCGTTAGCGCGGAATTTTTATTTAGCGAGTTTTAACCCGATTATTGGAATTGGAGTTTATGTATAATTGCTTTTTAGGTTAACGAAACGAAAAGTCCAATTTCGTCTTTGTGTACGGTTTGTAATCAGAAATTACTTGCGGCAGACGCATTTGAGTTCGAGCTCCTTTTGGCCGGTGGCCGCATCTTTGAGCAAATCGACGGCCGATTGAAGCAGAGGAAAGGTTTGAGTCTGCCTGGCGTACGCCTCGCTGGTCACGCAGAAGCCGCTGGGGACGTCGAACTGAGGAATCAAAATAAACCGTGGATGGAAGGCCAAGAGGCAAAAAGAAGGCAATTTCATACTCGGCAATCGTCAAGTGATTTGAGCAGCGCCAGCGAAAGCGCTTTTCCGCCCACCAGAGTCTCGATCTGCGCCGCCTTTTCCCGCAGGTCGCACACCAGAGGCACGTGGCCGTCTCTCAAGCAGTCCCACTTCTTGGGCCGCAGAAAAGTGACGGGCACAGGCCTTTCTGCGTTGCAAGGCCCTCTATACCTTTAAATTATTACATTTTCAAAGAAAAATAATTAAATTGCTTCTTTAGGTATTAATTATTAATTTATTTTTAAAATTAGATATTTTAATGAAAAATTAATGGTTACTGATTATTTTAGTTTCAGAATTGAAGTTCTTTTTAAGAATATTGTTGTAAAAGAATGAATAATTAAAGCCCGTTGACATGTCAACAAACTTGAATTTGTAACTAAAACAAATCGTCTCACCAATACGCAAACTCTGTGAATCCAACGCCTTGCAAGCCATTGATCCCAAACTGCAGCTTCCTGAGGAACGTCTGTTGTCTCCAAGGTTGACCGCTGTAAACGACGGCACCAGAACGTTCCTCAAGCTGCACGCTGACGATGTAGTTTTTAGAATTTGCTAAAACATGAAATTAATTTTTAGAACTTGGAGCTTTCTACAAATTATTATTAATTAACTGACTTGAGAAATTCAACTTGAGTTGGCCTGGCAAATTTTTGTGATGGCCTGTATTTGCAAGGTCGAAATTGCTTTTGTCCACCCTGTTAACCCTGCCCGTTGGGGTGCGCACCAGACCCCATTTTGCCCTGTGGAAAAACGGTTTTTGCCTTAAATTGCACAATTAAATTGTTTTGCAACAGTGAGCGAAGCTATCAAAACACAATTGTAAATAAAGAATTTATCAAATTTGTATTTACATTGTGAGTCCGTCGCGCCTGCAACTAGTGTTTAACGTGAAAAAGCATCCGTCAGGCGCCACACCGTGCACGCGAACGCTCCGTAACAAATTCGCTTCGTTGACTTCGCCCCATCGCCTTTGACGCACGCCACGGAGGTAAAGGCGCGACCCTTCGTCATCTGCGCCGATTTTCACAATGCCATCCATGACACCAAATTGATCATATCCCTCTGGCTCCATGAAACTAATTAAAATTTCCACAATTTCAAATTAAAAAAGTGATTTTTTTCGATTGAATTAAAATATTGATGATTTTAAATTTTAACTTTTCCACTTATTTTTAAATCAATATTTTATTTAAAAAAAACTCACACCATGTCAAGCCAGTCGCCGTCTCTCCACGTTTCCCTGGCTAACGCTTCGCTCAGCAGCGTGCTGTCCCACGAATCTCTCGTTTCCACGTAATCGCTGCACGCCGTCCATCTGCACGCAACATTGTAAAAAACGATTTATGCAAAAAGTTGGCGTAGACATTACATGAAATTGAATCTGACGTGCAGCAGCGCGGCCTCGTCGTGTTCTAATCGCCATTCATTAGCAACACCTTTGCGTAATGTGCCATTAAAAGTTATTCGCCATCTTCGCATCGGCTCGATCGCGGTGAATTTCAAGTCGGCCGCTTCGAACTGCCGCCATTGGCCGCTTAGGTACGTCGTGTCCGGGTGTTCTGCACAGGAATAAAAGAAAATGGTTGAAAATTCAATTTTGAAGAAGTAAAAACATGCGTACCTGGAAGTTGATAGACAGCACCATTGGGAAGAGACAGATAAACCCAAACTTCTGAATGTTGAAACTTTCGGACTATGTTCAATTTCAGCGTGGTACCTTTTGAATCACAGCCAAATATCGTCATACTGTCCATGTCCTTAAAAATAACAATTTTTTATCCAGATAAATTAATTCCATTTTTATCCTTTGTACCATGTCCTTTTTAATTTTTCGCGGAGTTTCCAGTTTGGTCTCGTAAGGAGTGGCGGTCACCGAGTAAATTTCCTTTTTCTTCTCCAAAGGCTCTTCGCCGGGCCAGCGTTTTCCCAAACAATAGCGAGCCCAAAACTTTTTGATGTAGTAATTCCATCCTTTTTTTAAATGCAAAAGTTACAATAAAAAATTTGATTCCTGCAGGGATTGTGCGCACCTGCCTGGGTGTAAATGACCCTGCGAGGGTCATCGGTGTCCTCGACCAAAATGTGCCTGATGACGATGTAGATGGCGATGGGCGCGATCAGCATCGCTGCATCCAGCATCACCTCATCAATCAGCCAGTCCATTATGAGCTCTTGAAATAAATCATTGAGTAGTTTATTTAGTTTTAAATGGTAATTTTAAACAAAAATTTAGGTAATATCAATTTTTATCAATAAATTTTGGGGGACATTTACTTGAGATTTTCCCCCCGGGATGACTTTTGTCCCGGGAGGATAGTGGTGGGACAAATTTTAGCTGGGCAATATAACTTTAGCGCACTTTGAGCGGGAGGAAATTTTAGATTAACTTAACCGGCGGGAAAAATGTTTCCCATTGCGTTTTTCTCATCTATAAAATCAGCTGCTTCAAATAAAAATCATATTCTTAGTACGAGCTCCCGGAATACGAGAAAATTTTGATTAAAAAGCAAAAAAAACTTTTTTAGACCTAGACAATTTTTAAATTAATATTTACAAATAATTATAATTAAGTTTTAATTTAATTGGTCACAATATAACGTCATAAACGTAGTTCTCAAAAAATTTTAGCATGTGAATGTTTTCCTTATACAGAAAATCAAAACATAGAAAGTTCAGGACAAAAAAAATTATGTTTTGAAGCAGCTGAATTGATAGATGAGAAAAACGCAATGGAAAAATTTTTTTCCCGCCGGCTGAGATAAACTAAAATTTCCTTTACAAAGTTTCTGCGAAAAAAAAATTTTATATTTGCGAAAGAAGGAGAAAAATTTGTACTAGAAATCAATAAATGTACATAAGCAATTGCACCTTTTCTATTTTATCTAAGCTTCACATTTCATTTTTTTTTTTTAATGTGTAACCCGCTTGAGAACGGTACGAGCGATATCAGACAAACATTTCAAGGGCGATAACCCGGGGACCTCTCAATTAAAAGTCAATAGCACGATGGTTCCGTTTGACCCACTAGGTTGTAAGTGCAATGAAAGTTAAATTTTTGATAAAAGAGCATTTAATTAATTGTTTTCTTCTTAATGAATAACAGATTAAGTGTAACCAAATCATGAATAAACGACTTTTAACATATTTTTGAGAAAATTAGTTTTAAATCCCCTATCTTCATCGAATTTTTTCTTAGAACATGCAGATTGTAATTAATTACACATTTTCTAAAAGCAATAAGCAAACGAGGCTTGCGGTGCTGGAAACGCCTCTCAAATAACAGAGGCAGCAATCGAGAGTCAATTAATGGAGGGCCGTTCACATAAACGCAAAGCACGCAACCGATTTCAATTAATTGCAAAAGCGGGCAAATTGAAAAGCTCGCGTGGCCGCGAGAACTGCATTTACCGGCGTACTGGACGAGCGTGTTGACTCCATAGTAATCAGCGATAGTGGTCATCACATGCAGCACTGAATGAGATGCAAATAAATGATTTAGCGGCAGACAGGCTGCCAAATGCCCACGCAGCACAGCCCGCCCGCTCGCTCTGATAACGAATCGGCCAATCGACTGTCAAACAAGATGTTATCGCCTGAAATTAATCACGCGTGCACCGCCGAATGGAACAAAAATCCATTCGACAAAGCGTCTAATTAATACCGCACTCCGCTGGGAAATCAAACGCGGTTCGCTCGCACGGTCCATGCCTCACTCACAAGTCAAAATACAAAAAGGTCAACTTGCTTCCGCAGTTGCAAAAAGTGGCTCTGATCGAAGGCGTGTTTCGGATATGATAACATTGATTTTTTTGTCCCCGGGGATGGCAAAATCAAGCAGGATGTTACCAATCAACAATCAGTATTAACTTTTTTTGATTAAATATATGGTAATAAGCTTTAAAATCTACATTATTAATAATTTCCATTTAAGGCGTTTTATTCCTGATCAGCCAATTATTTTTATTTTGATATTTTATTTTATTCATTTTAAATATAATGACAATATCGAAGTATGCACGTCTTATGAAGAGTAAAATTTTCTATGAACAATAACAAAATGATTTTAACGAGAAAAATAAAATATAAAATTTGAAAAACCTGTTTAATTATTCAAATTATTAAATAAATAAAATATTACTTAAAAATTTAGTTTAAAATTTAAAAACACAAAATTTAAAACAAAACCAATTTATGCACAAATATTTTCTCAGGATGTTTAATATGTAATTTACTTTAATTTTTAAACGTATAACTTTAAAATCTTACAATTGCTAATGCTATTTTTTGAAGCAATAAATTGTAAAAAGGGAATTAAAATAAAATATATTATGTAATTTTATATATTGTGGGATTTTCTTACTATTTCTACCATTCTTTTACTTCACTCTGTTGTAATATAAGAAAAAAGCGAATTATAAAAATCACAAATTACAGGTTGGGACGAAGACAAGATAGGCTGGCCAAGATTAGAAAATTTCATGTATAATAAACCAGTTCTATTCAAACTGTTATCTCCTGTCTTTCACTCATACAAAGAGTGTAAACAAAAAATGCAGGTCATAACGTGCGTCTCTGATTCTGACGCACACAAAAACGACGAGACGCGAGATCGAATCATGATGTTTTGCGCCCCCAAACGAGAAAGGGGTTGCTCGATGCACCCATTGAACTTGTACTCACGCTACTTACTCAGTGACTCACACGGCTGACCTCCGAGCAAAAGTCCTAAACGTACCCAGCAGCCCCTTATCTATTTGTGACGCGCTCGCTAAGAGGAATAAAACGCGGCCGGTGCTTATCGCGCGCTCAACTCTTTAAACCCGCACTCAATAAACTGATAAGCGCGGCCGCATAGTCTCGTTCTCGCACAAAGAGAGGAGCTTCTTTTATCGCCCACCACGTCTATTTTCGCTGAATTTCAGTGTCTGCTCTTTTTATGAGAAACGAAATCTGTGTGTATATCGCAAAGACAAAAGGCTGAATTGATTAGCATTTTATCTCAGTGGGCTGGTTTTGTTGCCCACTCTGAATTTGCAAATCCTAAAACATGAGTTTAATATTTTTTACGCTGGTTGCGAACAAAGAAATCGCCCAGATGAGGAAATTAAGCCTGCAAATTCACTTTTTTCAGCACCTTCCGATTACCATTTTTTTTCTCTGCCATTCCAGCTGATGGTGAGGGAAGTCAATGGAGCTTTTATTTTGCTAGTTAATGATGCGAAAAATGACGCGAGAAATCTCTTCGCGGTTTAACGTGCTGTTTACTTGACAATCTGCACGTCGTAAATCGAATGAGTGGCGGTCGCTCAAGGGTCTCGGCACCTCATCGAGAAAATGCGCTTATGGGGACCACTTATCTTTTGCGCTTCTTTATCTGTGCAGGCCCTAATAAAAAACAGAAGCGTCTCGCTGAACAACTGAAATAATCAACCGGTCAATTTGAGAGTTAAGATTTACGATTCCTCATTTTTGTTAATGATCTGAAAATTTGTCATTTTAAATTTATCAAAAAAGTACTGAACAGAAATCTTGATTTTCAAATATCAATTATCACCAAATCTTGAATAAAAATTCAAAGACCAGATAAGTTCTTATTTATTTTGATTATTTTAAGAAAATACAGAATCATAATGTAGAAAAATTTGCTTAACATCATTCAGACAGAATCTTGAAGAGCCACACTTTCATATTTTTATTTTAAAACTCATTTAAAGAGGCTTCTATATAAACAGACGTCATAAATATTCATTTAAAAGGATTTTCATGGTTAAATTGGTGCTGCTTAAAACAAAACTTTCAGCGCATTAAATGATATTATTTCCATCCGGCTTGGCAATTGCCCACTTTCCTCCTCCCGTTTTAGATACAGAGGGCCCTTTTTTCCTATCTCATAAGTTTTCCGTCGCTCGCGGCACATGAGGAAAATCACTCTATCTTGAATTACAGGTGCTCGAAGCAAGCTATTTAAAGCAAAACGCACTCGCCACTTTCCTCCCACTACCGTTTGCGCCAAAATAAAAGTACCTGCGCCCAAAAGTTGGGCGTAAAAGCCGAAATTGTACCGGGGAAAAATGGCGCGCACCGAAAAGTTTAACCTTTTATGCGCCGCGCCAAGTCGTTCTTGTTTATAGACAAAGTTGACAACAATATCAAGATAGGCACCGTGAATAAAGGGCCCATCGCAAACTTTGCCAATGCATTTTTATATCCGCCAACTTCTTTTCAATCCTCTGACTTTCTTCTGAAGCGTTCTTTGCATAATACAATTGAATCTGCTTTTAAACGAGACGCCGACAGCTGGTGAAATATTTTATTATCTCTCCAGCGCTTTGGGGGATTGCATTTGAATATCGCATGCATTTATAACGAGCAAAGCTGCAGCACCGCTCGCAAAATTACACTGTCGAGCTGACAATGAAAGGCAAGAGCAAGAAGAAGCGGGTCAGTGCGCCACAAGGATCCAGGCTTTGCGAATTCGTGAGATCAAAAGAAGATTAAAACTTATCCAAAAGCTTCTTTTCAATTTTTTTTTTTACATCTTCACATTTCACAATAATCTTATAATGCGCTCAGGTGAGAATTTCTCTCTGGAATAGAAATTAAATGTCATTATATTGTGAGATCTACTTTATTTTGTGGCAGATAGCAAACTTTTTGAGGAACTCAATTTGTGGGAGAGGTTAAAACAGCGAGCAATTAAAATTCAATAAAAAACAATTATTCATGTACATACATATATGTATAATGTTTTAATACATTATGCATATTTATTTTAGTGTTAAGCTTTAAATTGTTTTTAAATGTAATTATTATTCATTATATTAAATAAATTTAATTTATATAAAATAATTATTTTAGCAAAAATTTTCTTTCTGATAGGTCTCTTTTAAGACGAAAAACAATTATACAAAGATGAAAAAATTTTTGATCTATTTATATAGCTATGGTGATTAAAATATGTGTACATAGAAACATTTCTGGGATTGACTCTGCTAATTTTTGTGTCTATTCCAGTTAATTCATGCAAAATTATAAAATTTATAAATTAAACAGTAATTTGGGCGTGAAATATCTATAGAGACCACTGTTTCAGGAAGAATTTTAGCAGAAGTGGCAAGCATAAAGCAGTCTAACGATTAAAAAATGTATTCCTCTGATGACTTTTAAGCTCTCCCAAGCCTCTTCTTTTTATTTTGTTCATATTTATTCTGGTATACGTGTCGAATCGCAATCATTTTTAACGCGTGGCCTGGGAGAGTTTTGATTAAAACCGCAACGGGCGCGGCCAGGCGATTTTTGCAACAAGGGCGGAGGAGAGAAGATGAAATTGTACAGAATGTATAATGCGGCGGGGTGTTGCGATGGTGCTTTTATAGCCCGTGGGCAGCAGATGTGGCTAATGAGAGGGTGAGTCGTGTTCGCGCGCAGTTATGCCGAGAGTGAATTTCCAGCCGACCAACAAACTTTCTTTCTTTCTTCGGCAAAAACAAGCCGCGCCGAAAAGTCGCGTAAATCATTCGTCTGAGGCTCTTTCTCTCTCTCTCGCTCTCGCAGGGTTAGTTGCAAATCAGCGGCCCGGGGCGCGGCTCCCTCTTCCACCAGCACCCAAGAAGTATAAAGTTGAGACAGAGAGAGCCCTTCTCTCTTTCGCTCGGCCAACTCCGGCGGGCGAATTCTGGACTTGATTGGTGAGCAAATGAGCAGTAGAGAAGAGTCTCTTCTCTCTTGGATAGAAATGCGAAATGCACTCTTATATATTTTCCCTCCAGCTCTGCTTTATTGCAATCTGGAGTCGCTGACGTCGGGCAGAACAAGATGTAAAAATATTATAGGGGCGCTGGCTGCTCTTCTTCTCCTCTCGGAATGAAATTTTATGCGTCTGCTCGCTCGTCCCGAATGAAAAATGTATGCGTTTGTTCTGCGCTAATGCCTCTTGCTTTTCCATGCGGCGGCGCGAGAGATAGAAAAAGCAAAACGAAAGAAACGAGTCGGCACTTTTCCTCCGTTTTGCTTCTGCCGACGAGGGCAGAGCAAAGTGCCAAAGTTGAGCCCTCGCATGCCAGATTCGCTATTAATGGAATTAAAAGTGCTTGGTACGCAGCACCAGGCCGTCGCTTCCAACAAAGGAGCACATTTTTTCATAACTTATTTGCAACTTTTTTTAATTTAGAATCTCTGGAAATTGAATAAACAACATTTTTTTAAATTTAGATTAAATTAATATTAAGAATTTACATTTCAACGAGTGAAAATATCTCAGGTGGTATAAGTGAAAGATTTTGTTTTAATCAATGTATCTGTTTAGATAAAAAAAATAAATAATAAAAATAGTTACAATCTTCAAAAGCACATCAGCCAAGATTTGAAACCTCTTTGTACATCTTGGTTTGATTAAAAAGCTTTCCCTTTCCTTTGATATTTGGCCCATCCGCAAAAGCTTCTTCAAGCATGAAGGATCAGTGGAAAGATGAGAAGGCGTGGAAATTTAAATGAGTCTGGATGATGGAAAATTAGACGAATATGTGAAACTTGGATTTGCAAACGCGACACCTGCAGAGGCAAAAACA